GCCTGGTCTACAGAGGACGGCATGGTCTGCAGAATCGTACCTGGCTGGCCTAAGGCATTGAGAGGGTTGGCAGGCGCCGCGACTGCTGGTGCAGCAGGTGCCGCAGTGTTCTGTTTAGCCATATCCGCGAGAGCCTTCAGGATACTGGAAGTGTCGGGCGCCTGCTGAGCAGGAGTAGATGAGATCGTGCCATTGGTAGGCTGAGGAGCACCTCCCAAAGAGATGTAGTTGGGTGCTGGGGAGCCTTCGGGAGTAGTAGATTCGACATCTAAAGAGTGACACAAAAGTGAGCGGAAGTTAGCCGATGAGTTTCAGCAGGAACCTTGGCCGAAAAGACTAGCACTCCCGAGGCAGAGTGGCCTGGGATCGAAAGAGAAAGGCTTTGGATAGTCTTACTTTGCGATGGAGGTGCGTTAAGCTTTTCCTTGAATGAAGCAAGCATAGGGGCAGGAAAGGTATATCCGCGTTCCCATATGTCGACCAGCTTCTTTATCTTTTCCTATATTGAACGAAGCAAGTACGTGAGTTGGACTGTTCATCACCGGGAAATGATGTAAAGAGGAAAGGGAGGCTGAGCCAGCGAGACCGGGCAAGCATAGTGGCCTAGGACTTTATGCCATGATGGTCGAGGAATATACAGGAGATACGTTGATCGATTCTCAAGCAGATCTGCATGCGGTCTCCTAGGCAGAAGACTGCATCCTATCGGCCCTATGCTTGCCTGCGGCCCTGTGATGGTTTCGATTATGGTTTGCATATAGCATCTAGAGCGTACCTTTTGATCGTCGGGAGCGTTGCTTATGATATCAGTCATCAGGATAGGAAGCAGCTCGGTCACTCTGTTAACACCGGCGGCGAAGGTCCCATCAGGGGCAGCACTACCAGATGGTTGCCCTGCCTTGCGCGCTTGTTCTACCCACTGTCGAGTTACAGAGTCTACGACATAGAGTACGCCCAACTTGTGTGTTCCTGGTGCTTTCTTGAAATGGGTGTAGATCTTTTGGATGAGGACGGATTCATTCTGTGGGAGAGTACAAATGAGAGATGTTAGCCTCCGATCCGAGCAGAATACCACGTATGGAGGGTGACATACCTGGACGTTTGCCGTGCAGAGCGATGTGATACTGTTGATTTTGGATCCTGAAACGCCCGGTGGCTTGAGTGCCAGCATCGACTGGAGATAGTTATCCAGTTCTGCTACAGCAGACGACATGGCTGGTGGGTATGGAGTGCTGAAATTCCGAGCCCAGTACGCAGAGAACAGGATACAGCCAAAAGACTTCTTTTTGGAAAAACTATCGCTTTCTTCAAAATGCAGCGTTGGACTTCGTACAGGGAGGCGATAATCGCACTGTGTTTCCAGCCAATCGGTCTACTGGGAATTCCAGCTGTAGTTAAAAATCTTGTGATGTTTTAAATGGGGATTACCAGTGACCTGGTAGAATGGTGGGCTCCTGGGAGGAGAGTAATAAATGGTTTCCTAAGCGGACTTCAGGTCGTGTCACTACAGACTTCAAAAGCGTACTCTGGCGACCAAGGGAAGGCCTTCCGCCTACAGCTGGAACACGGCCAAGCGTTGCTGTCCAGGGACTTGCGACTCGCGAACGAGTGTGTACACAGTATACCCTAGAGTGCTAGGTCGACTGGAAACCGTTTTTGAGACTGTGACGAGGATTACAGTGTCTGAATACTGCGACGAGTGATGAAAATGACGATGAAGGAAAGAGTGAGAAAGGATGGATGCGAGAAAGATGATTGTTCAGAAACTTGGAATAAGAATAGGGATGGAAGGAGATTCAATTTGCAATGGTCGGTCGGGTGAGGAGAAAAATCAGACCGCTTAGGCTAGTCTCTATTGGGTAACACATATGGAGCACACCTCTTTGAGTTCAACTCTCGGCAGGATGAGATAACCGTGAATGGCTGTGCATAGTTAGAATGCCTTATCATTCAGGCTCAAATACAGCTGCTGGGAGTTAGGTCGTCTCAATACCCCGTCACGTGAAGGCCTTCCCCCTTCCCTGCTGGGCACAGCTAGCAGCTGAAACTGCGTCTAAACTTTGCTTGGAGCCTCGGTGAGTCGAATCTGGTAATATGCCCTGAGGCAGGTGGCTGCCGTGACCGTGCAAATGAGTTCGGGATGGGATTGAATTGACCATCCAGGTGATCATGATCATGATCATGACAAGAACAATGGAGCAGTAAAGTTAAAGTCAAGTTAGAATTATGAATAGAACACCTCCATGACACGCTCTTATAACAGCTACGAATAGTCTTTGTATTCTTGTTGGGGATTGTTTAATGCTACAGTACAAGTATCTAGTATGGACCTGCAAGGTAAAGGATTGTACAGTGCAGTAGTATATGCACAAGATCCATTGGTATCGAGTGTGTCTGTCTCATGCCTCGGTTTTACGTCCAAAAGCCATCAGGAGGTGCGTGCATTAGGTAGTATCTCTCCCACACTATCGATAGCACAGTACTTCAGGGTGAGAAAAAAGAATGGGGAACCCCGTTCACTACTGTGAAGCTTGGGCGGCCTATTAGTCTATTAGTCTGTGCTATAGGAGGAGGATTGCGACTGCCGACGTCACAGCGAGGGGGTGCAATGGGTCAGAGCCACCACCACACCAGCTCCATTTGTAGGCACTCCGTTTACGGATGGACCGGGTGCCGAAGATCGTCGGAAAAGAAAAAAAAGATTGAATACACTCCGAATCCCACGGGAATTTAGTCAAAGTAGCTTCCATGCATGAAAGAGGACTTAAATGTATCGAATTCTTTCTGATTATTATTCAAGTAACTTCACTATGTACCCTATAATGATCAAGCAACCCTGATAAAACCCTCTTGCCGTGAGTTACTTGAGGGCTGGGTTAGTACGTACAGTACGTAGTAACTTACAATGTTCAAGCCATGATGTATGATCAGAACAGACTGGGTAAGAATTCAACCTAGTATTCTCCGTCCTTAGTCCGTCCCGGACAACGGAGTACTGTGTATGAACATAACATCCATTTTGGTAAGCTTGCCGCAGTCAACCGCGCCCATTCCCCAAGCCCCAAACTCGGGACACCGGCCGCCTCGAAACTAGCGTGACCGTATGGTACGGTCCACTTCTCCTTCTGCCTTGCTTTGTTGCCGGGTGTTACCGTACAATCCGCGTACCGGCTGTAGGAGTGTTACGGCCAGATGGAAAAAAAGGCCCGCAAAAGAGCTTCTTCTCCCGAATCTGTCTCTCTATCTCCTTCTCTTCCTTCTTTTCTTTTCTCTACCGCTGTGTGAATTATACCTACCCCCTCCTTTTCCCTCTCCTCTCATACATTATCACCCTTCAACTCGTGTTCAAGTTGTCCTTCTCACAATGGCTTCCACCTTGAGACTTGGAACCTCTGCTCTTCGCTCCAGCGGCATGGCTGCTAAGCCTGTTGTTCAGTCCGCTGCCTTCAACGGCTTGCGCTGCTACTCTACCGGCAAGGCCAAGGTCTGTCGCGCTCCTGACATCCGCTGCTGCCATGCTCAGCTGTACTGATTGGAATATGCTTTCTAGTCCCTGAAGGAGACCTTCGCTGAGAAGCTCCCCGCTGAGATCGAGAAAGTCAAGAAGCTTCGCAAGTACGACCAACTCGATTACCCTTCGCTCGGTACGATTGCTAATCACCTTTGGTCCATTGCTATAGGGAGCACGGCAACAAGGTCATCGGCGAGGTCACCCTTGATCAGGTCTACGGTGGTGCTCGTGGTGTCAAGTCCCTTGTTTGGGAGGTCAGTAGTCTACACGTAAACGACATCCTCCTGGTAGAACCTGGCTAATACACTTGTTTAGGGATCTGTTCTCGACTCCGAGGAGGGTATCCGTTTCCGTGGTCGCACTGTAAGAATAATCTGGCTCTCATCGTGGCCTCGTGCAAATGCTTACAATCTGCTAGATTCCTGAGTGCCAGGAACTTCTTCCCAAGGCCCCCGGCGGTCAGGAGCCTCTCCCTGAAGGTAAGCATTCTTTTGTCAGAACTGACCATGGTCATTTGCCCTAACGGTTACTCAAGGTCTTTTCTGGCTCCTCCTCACCGGCGAGATCCCCACTGAGCAGCAGGTCCGCGACCTTTCTGCTGAGTGGGCTGCTCGTTCCGACCTCCCTAAGTTCATTGAGGAGTTGATCGACCGCTGCCCCAGCACTCTGCACCCGATGGCTCAGTTCTCCCTGGCCGTCACCGCTCTTGAGCACGAGTCTGCTTTCGCCAAGGCTTATGCAAAGGGTCTCAACAAGAAGGACTACTGGAACTACACTTTCGAGGACTCCATGGACCTCATTGCTAAGCTTCCTACCATCGCTGCCAAGATCTACCGCAATGTCTTCAAGGATGGCAAGGTCGCTGCCATCCAGAAGGACAAGGATTACTCCTTCAACTTGGCTAACCAGCTCGGTTTTGGCGACAACAAGGATTTTGTTGAGTTGATGCGCCTCTACCTGACCATCCACTCCGACCACGAGGGTGGTAACGTTAGCGCCCACACCACCCACCTTGTTGGTAGTGCTCTCAGCTCCCCCATGCTTTCCTTGGCTGCCGGTCTGAACGGTTTGGCTGGTCCCCTTCACGGATTGTAAGATCTTGCTCCCCCCTCCTCCTTCTCAACTCCCAGCCCTCAAGTGCCTCACTAACATGGCAATACTGTACACAGGGCCAACCAGGAAGTGCTCAACTGGCTCACCAAGATGAAGGCTGCCATTGGCAACGACCTCAGCGACCAGGCTATCAAGGATTACCTCTGGTCTACCTTGAACGCCGGTCAGGTCGTCCCTGGCTACGGTCACGCTGTTCTCCGTAAGACCGACCCTCGCTACGTGTCTCAGCGCGAGTTTGCTCTTCGCAAGCTCCCCGATGACCCCATGTTCAAGCTGGTCAGCCAGGTCTACAAGATCGCTCCTGGTGTTCTGACTGAACACGGCAAGACCAAGAACCCCTACCCCAATGTCGATGCTGTAAGTTTAGCGCTGCGGAGCTTCCTGGGATCTATCTCGCGGGGTCGATATACTAACTCGTCTCTAGCACTCCGGTGTCCTCCTCCAGTACTACGGCCTGACTGAGGCCAACTACTACACCGTTCTCTTCGGTGTCTCCCGTGCTCTGGGTGTCTTGCCACAGCTGATCATTGACCGTGCTCTCGGTGCCCCCATCGAGCGCCCCAAGAGTTTCAGCACTGAGGCCTATGCCAAGCTCGTCGGTGCTAAGCTGTAGATTTGTCAATGATTTGAACCCCCCCCGGCGGATGTGGAGTTTTTGTTACGAATAAACACTTTATACTTTGTATTATGCCTATCTTGTTCTTGGATTATCCCTCTTTTTTTCTTTCTGCCTGGGATCCGCCAAGTGTTGGGGTTGGCTCGATTAATGTATGATAGGGCACGGTTCGAGCGAGCCTAGTAACAACACTTTTAAAATGATCTGTCTATTCCCAGACGTTCTGGTTGCCTTCTTGGCTTTCTTTCTTTCTTTTTCTTTCTTCCCTCCATCTCCCCCTCCCTTTCACTCTCGTGATCTAATCTGCGTGCCATGTTGTACATGAGTTATCAAGCTGGAGTGGGCTCTATCCACCCAAGTAGGACTGAAGGGCGAGCGCGGCGGGTGTGAAGTAGACATTCTCTTATCCATCATGACCCGCGGCAAAGGATGCGCCTCTTTAAAACGGATTGACTCTGGACGGAGTACTCCGGGAAAGGAAGACAGAACTCGGGATGATTGAGTGCAGAGTGTTGTCAGTCAATAAAATCAAAATGGAAGTGGAAAACCACCAGTCTGACTGAGCCTGGAGGTCCGGCCCAGGGTTGTACAGTACAGTACGTACTACTACCGGGAGGCAAGGTGGTGTTGCCCAGTGCATTGAGTGCATTACTCCGTGAACCGAAACGGGAAGAAGCGAGTTGAACCCGCAGCCGGGGCTGAATTCCCCTCCCAACGGTTGAGGTACTCAGCGCCCCGATTTACTCCGGTGCTCAACTGCTGGAGACTCCCTTCAAGGCTAGCGTATGGGTTTACCTTGATCTGGCTAGCAACATTATTGATCCATGATGATGAGCCAATGGCCCGCAAGTGACCGGGTCCTCCGGGGTGTTTGGCTCCTTCCAGCCGCTGCCCAGCGATCGGGAAGACGAGTCTGACTCCGAGCTCCTGGCTATGTGTGCTCATTACTACGGGGTACTCCTTGGTACGGATCGTTCTCTTGACTCTCTACTGAAAGGGAAAAAAATACATAACAACAACAACTTTCGTCGTCTTCTCTTTCTTGTCTTCTAGGAACCTTGAACAAAAACAACTTTCAACTTTGGTCTACCCGCCACTTCAATTTACTATTATAGTACGTGTCAGACATCACCTTCTCATTCATTCATCCATCATCTCTCCATCTAGTTAGCTAGATATAGCTGGCTGGCTATGGGCTGTCGGGACCTTGATAAGCAAATACTCAGCTGCAAGAACCCCCCAGACCGACATCATGCTTTCCCATCCTGCTCCTCTTCCTTCTGCCACCCTGCTTTCTTTCCGCTTTCCACCCATTCTCCGCCCCCCATTCTACCTTGCTTCCATTATTCCCGTTCCTGTTTCCTTCTCTTTACCTCCCATCAATCAGAATCCTCTGGTGACTAACCTTCCGGACCTTTCGTGGTGTTCAACAGCGACCAAATCAATAAGTCCATCTATCTGCGACTGGTCATTCCCATCTGCAGTTTCTCTGCCATCTTTTGCGATCCTTTAGGCGACGAAGCCCCTTATATCCCTTGGTCAGGGCCCCTTTCAGCGCTCCCCAAGTTCAGAGATGTCTCCCGCTCCTGTTGCAACGGCCCCTGCCGGCCAAACGCTTGAGAAGAAGCCTGTCAAGTTCAGCAATCTATTGCGTACGTATCCTAGCCCTCATTCTTCTCTGCGGGCAAATGTCCCTGATTCTGACGCCTCTGTCTACAGTCGGTGCAGGTTTGAACTTGTTCGAGTACGTATTACATCCTCCGTGACACCGTCACCCAGAATTCCGGATGACTAACAGCCAGCAATAGGGTCACCACCTTGGGACAGGTATGACTTCCTTATTGTCGTGAAGCCGCAGGCCGGCGAGTGTTGTTTAAGCTGACACGAGTCACAAATTTAGCCGCTGGAGGTGATCAAGACAACCATGGCCGCAAACCGAGGCGATAGCTTCGCCGGTGCTATGGGTCGGATTTGGGGTCGTGGCGGGATCCTCGGTTGTAAGTTTCCCTCGCCTCGAACTTCTCACGACTAGCGCATCGGATGCCGCGTCTGACGTGGAGTCACAATAGATTATCAAGGTCTCATTCCGTGGGCCTGGATTGAGGCCTCCACCAAAGGCGCAGTCCTGCTCTTTGTCGCGTCGGAAGCTGAATTCCGCGCCAAGGTCCTTGGTGCCCCCGATTTTGTGGCCGGAATCGCCGGTGGTATGGTTGGCGGTATTGCTCAAGCCTATGCCACAATGGGATTCTGTACCTGCATGAAGACGGTTGAGATTACCAAACACAAGATGGCTGCGCAGGGTGTCAAGCCTCCCGGCACTTTCGCGACCTTCATGGACATCTACCGTAAGGAAGGTATCCGTGGTATCAACCGGGGTGTCAATGCGGTCGCTATTCGCCAGACCACCAACTGGGGTTCCCGTTTCGGGTTCTCTCGCTTGGCGGAGCAGACAATCCGCAAGGTAACCGACAAGGATGACAGCCAGAAGCTGAACGCTTTCGAGAAGATTCTGGCTTCGAGTCTGGGTGGTGGTTTGTCGGCTTGGAATCAGCCCATCGAGGTGATCCGTGTCGAAATGCAGAGCAAGACCGACGATCCCAACCGCCCAAAGAATCTGACGGTCGGCAAGGCTGCCAAGTACATCTATGAAAACAACGGCATCAAGGGTCTCTACCGTGGTGTGGCTCCTCGGGTGGGGCTGGGAATCTGGCAGACCGTCTGCATGGTGGCTCTGGGTGACATGTAAGTTGAACCCAATTCCCCGCCTTTCTGTCCTTGCAATTCCGGGTTGTTCACATGCTTGGAAATCATCCATCGAATGAGCAATGCCACCAGGGTGGGCTAGGCCGCCTGGGTCGGCGCACCCCGGACTCGCCATGTGATTTTTCAGTATTACCGAGGGAAGACTTCCGGCTAACGTGTGGGTCTCCGTTGCACCGAACAGGGCCAAGGAGGCAGTCGAAAAACTGACGGGCGAAGCTGTCACCGCAAAGCACTAGGGAAGGTTTGAGATACCCTTCTCCATGCACACGGTCGGAGGCGGCAGGAACACATGCTGGCCCGGTCAGTTCGCTGTTCTCAGACCGAACCGATGATGGAAGCGAGGTAAAGCGATGTGCTGAGCATGCCGCACAACCGATGTTACAAGCATTTTATTTACTATACTAGTGTTAATAGACCTGCGCATGTTGATGACTCGCTGGCCAAGATTGGCAGATGTGAATTTGGCGCGAGTTGTATGAATTATCCTTCTTTCTGTATGGTAAGACCAACTTTTTGTCTCGGATTACAGTTGCCGTACATGGGTTTACTGGCCGATTTTCCTGGGACCTCGTCAAAAGATCCACCCTGTACACATCGGTTTGTCTCGTAAATGCTCGCAAGGTGGGCAGGTAGGCTTCAATTTACAAAGGAGTCGGAGTGTCCTAGAAATGTTTCTCCCGCGATACTAAACGCCTTATGAATTTCCGACATGGATTGAGACCAGCTCTGCTGTGTCGAGATGGTCAGTTTACTCGGTACAGCCTATGAATGACAGGAATTAGATATAGATTACTTGGTGATTTTCGTCCTTGTGAACCTCGGAAAAGCGCCGATTGTAACTAGCGATTGCGTTTGACCGTAGACGCAGAAACGGAAGGAAGAGTATTACCTATGAGCAGGATATGCCCGAACATACCTTATTTAGTTCTCTTTGGAGATTGGAACAATCTCCGGCGCACCTACCCTGCTGAGTAAGGTTGACCTCATCAAGTCACAATCAAATTGGGACCAAACCGAAGAACACGGATAAGTCCTCCGGCAAGGGTAAATTGATTCTCATCTTCCGGTATCCTGAAGATTGACACCACTTCCAGCTGTATAGTCAGCCCAGCGCTTGCGGGAACCTCGGAAGTATAGTGTGCGTGACATGCGTGAGATCTACACTACTCGTGAACTGTTGCTACAAACCAAAGCTGGTAACTTCATCCGTAGCCATACGATCGACTACACACAATCATACGGCCTAGATCTCACCGCATAAGGCATGCAACGTAGGAATAAGATACAATTGTATTACAGACGCACACCACTACAGCCACATCATCCCAAATGAAAAAACAAGATATCTGCGGAAGGGTTGATCTAGACACAAGATGAATGGAAACGGAAGACGCGCTTTTCCTCCAAAAGCAGAGCCAGTCTAAGATGTATTTGTTGTATACATGATTAAACGGTCAAGCCAAGGTCCTGGGCGTAGGGAAGCTGGAAGAGGTCGCCGACGGCGGTAACGGAAGCCTTGCCGGACAGGAAGGACTTGGCAACCTAGAGGGTGAGGTAACGCGGGTTAGTGATTTGGTTCCATGTGGAATAAAGTTTGGGGAAGTGCACATACCTCCTTAACCTGGGCCTCGGTGACGGCGTCAATGCTCTGAGCGACCTCGGAGATCTGGTAGGGCTTGCTACCGTTGATGAGAGCGGAGCCAGTAGCCTCGACACCAGTCTCGAGGTTCTGGGCGGACTCAAGAGCACGGAACTTAGCCAGAGCAACGGCCTTCTTGACGTCTTCGCTGGCGAACTCGCCAGCAGCGGCCTTCTTCAGGACATCGATGGCGCTCTTACCGGCGGAGCTGATCTGCTCGGCCTTGCCGGAGAGGGAGATGGTGAATAGACCGGCATCCGAGTAGGCGAGGTTCTTGGTCGAGGCACGGACCTGGGAGAAGCCCTGGGTGGCCTGGCCGAGAAGAGAGAAACCAGGGGTCCACTTGATAGTGGACTCACCGCCAAGGAGGGCGGCGAGAACGGAAGCCTCGGGCTTGTAGGCAGAGGTGCCGAAAGCGCCAGAGCCGGGGAAAGCCACAACGACGGCGTTTCCAGCCTTGGAGGAGATGCGCTGCTCGCCACCGTAGTACTGGGAGGCGGCGCTCTGCTGGAGCTGGTACTTGGAGGAGCTACCAGCGCTGGGGGTCTCCTTGAAAAACTGGCCTACCCACTTGGAAACCTCCGCAGAGTTGGGCCCACTGCCGACGATGGCAATGTTGGACTTAGCGAACGCCTGCTGGGCGAATTCCGCGACGGCCTCAGCAGAAAGGTACTTCTCGAAAGCAGTGGTGACCGAGGGGGTGATGCTCTCACCCAGACCGCGGTGGAAAGCCACGGCGTGAGCAGCATCAATAGCAACAGCCTCGGGGTTGGCGGCAAGAGCTTGTTGTCTGTACTTGAGGGTCTTGAGGATGACCTCGCTCAACTCGTGGGCTTTTGAAAAATAACTATATATCAGACTTGGCTGACCGACAAATTGAAGCCTAGCGGGATGACATACCGGAGAACTTGGTCTGAGAAGCAACCTCCGCCAAAAGTTCAGCGAAGTAGGGGAGGTCATTGGCGAGGAACTTAGCCTTGAGGACAACATTCTCACGCGAGTGTGTAGCGGAAACCTCACTGCCCAGCAGTTCGACCTCCCGATTAATCCGCAGCGCCGAGCGTTTGAGTGTGGACTGGTCGTTGCAAACAAGAGTTAGTTCAGTGATGTCCAAGATAGTGTGCCTGAACCTGTAGAACGAGCGATTGAGCCGGGAGTGCTAACCTTGAAAGCGAACTGTTCGAGAGCATCGGAGAAGCCAGGGAAGGGCTGGTAGCGAGTACCAGCCTTGGAAACGAGGGCCAGGGTGCCGGTAGGGCCGGCAACCTCTCTATTGGCAACCTTCACACCAGCAGACTCGGAGACATCGTACTGGAGGCCAGGAGTAGCGGCAGATGCCATGCCTCGACGGCTGGTGGCACCGGCAGCAGAGCACTGCTGTTGAAGCGCACGGGGCGCGTTTCGGCTGATGGTGGATCGCGACAGCATTATCGCATGTGTAGAAGAGACAAAGGGAGAAAGATAGATATAAAGCCGAAAGGCTCAACAGCAATTGGAGGGGGTGGGAAGGTAGAAGAGCCGAGGAGAGCTGCTGGCGGTCGTTGAACGGGTTAGAAACGATGTCTGAAAAGCTTCAAGATGCCGGCGTTGTTGATTACTCGCACTCTGATTGGTTTGAATTGGGTGTGCGGGCGGAACCGGCTTTTCCTCCTCCTCCGAGTCTGCTGAGATCATGTGATTTTCTCTTCTTACGACTGCACGTGAGTTTCTTCCGCCTGCGACGTGCGATAAGAACTAAGGCCAATCAATCGTCAAGAAAAAAAAAGAAAAGTAAAAAAAAAAAAGGTAGGAAGCAACATCTCCCGCCAGAGGGACAATTTGAAAGGCTTTATACTCCCTTTACAAGTACCTCATGCTCTTCCTCCGGTGACCTCGTTTTTTGTCCTGGAGAATTGACGGCGGTGGTTCTCTAGACAACCCCATCAATCATGGCTTCTCAAGTATGCGACAACACTCCAGTGGTAGCTCTATCCTCGTGCTGACGGATGTTTCACACAGTACGCAGCGGAGCTGTGCGCGCTCTTGGTTGAGGACAACTTTGGCGAGCTTTTTGCGGTATGCTTACAGCCCAATCCTTTACTTTGTTCGCCTTCGATACACCCAACATTTTACAGCCACCTCCCTCAAAGAAATTGTAGAAGATGGAGCTAGACTGACTCTGCCTCCAATATGACTAGCGCATCTTTTCAATTCTTCAGCGTTATGACCGATTGTCTTTTCCTCGTCTCAGATTCTATTCGCGCCTGTCTGACCGTCAGCTCCGTCATGGTCTCGCCGCGATGATCCAACAACACCTCATCTATCACTACACCTCTTACGACGAGGGAGTCACCTACTACGAGCCCAACCCACAAGCTGCGTACTACCTAGTACGATCCGGTAAAATCCTCGCATTCATTCAAGACCGGCTAGGTAAGTATGCGGCAACTGTCATGTCCACCATCATGTACCTCGGACATGCTCAAATCAGCCATCTCGAAACACTGCCCGAGTTAAGATCTGGACCATCGGAAGCGGACGGTATCAATGATGACCTCGAAGGAGAGGGGGCGGAGGAACCAGTGAATGGGCATAACGTGGATGGACCCATCGAACAGCCAGCTTTGCTTCATCCGACATTGAAGGCATTGGCCTCCCATGGATACCTGATCCGTGTCCGAGACGCGCAATTCCAAAGTCATGCAGACAACGCGCTCGATGCTGAACGTGCAATTAAGTCGCGGCCCGACGTCAAACAGATGAAAGGCAAACGGCTCGAGGAGACGGTTCTAGATGGCACACTTGCTATGCTGAGGGAAAAGTTAGATGGAGATCTTACCCGTGGATTGATGCATAATGGCCTACCGCGTGGTGCCAAGAGAAGGCCTGGCAGCGGGTCTGCGGACAAGAGCGACCGGATGGACTATGATATGGAGGACGAGGCCGAGGAGGAGAATGAGTGGTCTGATGATGACATGGGAGGGGACGCGACTCCCATGGAGGTAAAGAGCTTCCCAAGTTGACTTATGCTCGTCACTGAGACTAACGGTGCTGTGTCCATCTAGTCTGGAATAGTCGTCCGAGTCAACTACGAGAAACTAGACGTTGCGCTGCGGAATCGACGGTTCCTCGACCTTGCGGAGGTGCACGCATCGCCGGCCACCGCCCAAGTCTACGAATGTCTTCTGCGACGCATTGAATACCAGACCAAGCAATGTCGGGACAGCGTGGAAATCCCGCGCGAAGGTGAAGAGGGCGAGCAATACTCCGTTGCGATTGCGCTGAGTGCGGTAACGGAAGAGGTCGACCCGCAGTTAGATCTGGCGGGCTCTATCGGCCCCATGGAAATACAGCAGCCCGTCAGCAAGCGTGGAAAGAGATCCTTAGACGAAGACGGAGTCAACGGGACCGGCCATCAAGATTCCGACGCCCCTAGCCGGACCTATGAGATTGACCAGCATCTCAGCCTTCTCTCTCAACCCCCCTACAATTTGACCTCGAAGCGGGTCGTATCCGGCCTTATCACCTGGACTGTGGAGTTCCGACACCTGGCGCGTAAGCTGCGTCATTTGGAACTCGAACGTGTCATCGAAGCTCGCTACGGCGATGTCGCTCTACGAGTGATCCGCGTCCTCCACGCCAAGGGCAAGCTTGACGAGAAGCGCCTCCAGGAAATCAGCCTCCTTCCCTTCAAGGACTTGCGACAGGTATTAGCCAGCATGCAATCCGGCGGATTCGTCGACTTGCAAGAAGTCCCGCGCGACGCTCAGCGGCAGCCGTCGCGTACAATCTACCTATGGTTCTACGATCCGGACCGGATTCGTAACAGCATCTTGGAGGACACCTACAAGGCTATGTCTCGGTGCATGCAGCGCCTACGATTCGAGCGGAGTCGACTCAAGGAATTCCTAGAGAAGACCGAGCGCAGTGACGTCAAGGGGAACGAAGAGCTGTATCTGTCTCCGGCGGAGCTCACCCTACTAGGGCAATGGAGGAGCAAGGAGGCTTTACTGCTGGGCGAAATCACCCGGTTGGACGAGATGGTGGCAGTCATGCGAGACTACTGATGAGGGGCGATTCCAACCAACCTTATCTCCCTAATGGCTACCGCATCCGTGATACGTAATATATTTCTACCCACCGATGCCACTTCATATGCCCTATATTCAGTAATTCCCCATTGTCTCCGTAAGCGAGACATGTACCCGGGTACGCCGGATCAGACGTTCACCACACCATGTAACGAAACAAGATTCCTGGGAGAAGGCTACAAAGCACATCCCACAAGCTACACCATATATGTAGGTGTAAATAGAACTTCTCTTCTTGTCATATACCTTTCCTGTTCAGTAGCAGTATGCAACCCTCAGGATATCATATTGCTGGGGGGCAGAGACCGCCACCGGGAATACAGCTTACAATCTCGATATCTACCTGAGGCGAAGAATCAATCTTTTGTTCATTAGTCACGATCACTACTTCCAACTGTAGTTTGTACTTCCGACTCACTCTCCACGCCTGCGGTTGCGTTGGCCTGCTTCGACTTGGCTTCCGAGTTTCGCAAACGACTCTCCGCGGCATTCAGCTTGTCCTTAGTCTCTTCAAGCTCCTGCTGAAGGCTCTTGATGTAATCAATTGCCATCTCCACCGTGCTGGCCTTGCTGATCGGTTGATTATTGGCTTTTTCTTTTTCTTTTTCTTTTTCATTGTCAGCTCCCTTGAGGGGACAGGCAGCGGCCTCCTTAGCATGTTTCATTTGGATGTATGACGGAGGAATGAGTGTCTCTATTTCCTTGAGTGCGTTGTTGATGCGGTTTCTTCGTCCCTGTTCGGCCAATTTGTGGTTGGTCCGCTTCGAGCTGAGATTCTCTGCTAAGGTCTCGGGATAGGAGACGCCAGGCAGAAGGGTGCCGTCCAGAATGTGCTGATAGTTCGACTTCGATGCCAAGTACAGAGCCGATGTTTCGCTCGATATTGCTGGAAGCAGAATCCGATCAGCTGAGTCGTAAACTAATGGTGAGGCAAGGGAATACCTACCGTCTCCACGGACTAGCGGTTGGATGCTAGGACTAATTTTGGGACGCAGGCTGGGACTAGCTTGCGAGGAACTTAAGCTCTGTCGCTTCCGCCCTATCGGACCGAGTTTAGGTGTGTCCGATTTCTTGGGCAGTGGGCCGCTTGGCGAAGGCATGGCAATTGAGCGAGGGCTGGGAGCCAAGGAGGTGTTTCGGTTAACGACCGGAGCAGATTTCGGCTCAAGAGCTGGAGTCGTACTTCCTGAGATTTCTGACGAAGCTGAGTTTGCCTGCACCGTAGTTTCGATACGGGCCACCTGCGGTCTTGTAAAAGGAGCCAGCGAAGCTGCGGCCTCGGGGAGGACCACATCTTCCATTACGTCGTCATGGGGTTCCGAGATAGTGAAATTCGATCGCGGGACTGTTTGACTGGTCGAAAGCGGTGACCGTTGAATGCGCATGAGCATTGCCGGCGTCGCAGGTTCACTTGGTTCTGAGGGTCGAGCTGGCTGAGGGCGAACGGCCGGCGATCTCCGCGAGGGAGGCAAAGCAGGCGGGGGCATTAAGGGCTCAGAGAGAGGCTCTGGCGAGACCGAATCTTGACCGGAGCTCTCATTGCTGGCATAAAGAAGTCCACTCTCGCCGGAGGCTTGGGTGGCATTCGCAACCTGTTCTTGATTGAGGCTATTCAAAAGCTCGTCGGCATTGAGGCTCATCAAAGACTTTTTGCGTGTTTGTGGCCGAACAGAGGGCGATTGCTGCTTTTTCGCACGGGCCGAGAAGGACTTGGTGCTGGACGGCTGTCGGCGATGTTTCCGTATCAGCCCCGGGGACGACTGATTGGATGCCATGGTAAGGGGATTGTCGGCAGGTGAAGGGACAAACCCCAGCTCCGACACCTGGCTGGAATGGAAAGGATAGCTGCTTGAGTTCGTGTTCTGCGCCTCGAGAGCTGGTGAAGTGAGGGGGGTGAAGTACTCTCCAGGAATCGTGTATTCAGGAAGACGAAACTGAGCTTCCAACGGCGTCATGGCTGGCGAGACAAGCGGGGTGTAAAGAGCCTAGGGCGAAACGGACGTATGCATTAGCTCTCCGAAGATGCTTCAATCCATTCTCATTCAAGGCGCTTACCTGTTCATCATTCACACGGGTAAACCGTTCGTAAACTTCGCGAGTGTCGTCCGCCCGCTGCGGGAATGTAGCAGCATTTCCATGAAACTCGACACTGTTCGGAGTGGGAGGAATGACCGGTCTGCCTTGCGGGACAAAGGATTGGGGCATGGACTGTCTAGATTGCGATAACGAGTGTGACTGATCCGGCACTGGTGGGTGCTGATGAGGATGGTAAATGGGTGGTTTATGTGCATAAAAGGCCGGGGGCATTGGCGCGGTCGAGAAGGACGAGCCATGTGGCTGACCTTGTTGTCCGTGATGGGCAAGGTCCAGGGCGAAATCGTTGTTGATCATGGGGCTGTACGACGAAGCGGACGCAGTCATGCCGCCAGTATCCAAGCTAACCAATTGCTCTTGCGCAGCGGCGGTCGAGACGGGCAAAGACATGGTGGCAGCGTGAATCAATGGACGAGAGACGTGATGGTCCGATTGAGGTTGACTGTCCACGTCGGGAAACTGCATTCCAAACTCGAGAAAGTTGGTGAATTCATCGTCGTTGGACGGAGGAATGTCCGACCAGGGCAGGGAATGCCCTTGGTCCATGGCGAAGTGGAAGGGGGTGCAGAACGGATGAACTCCCAGCTTTCTGTTCGATAAGAAAAGTGGAGCAATGGAGACGGTGAGCGGCAGACGTTTGACTGTCGACGATAGGGCGATGCGGGGAGGGCGAGGAGGGCGTGGGAAAGAGCTGGGCGTCGCGATTAGAACCAAGACGAAGCAAGACCAAACCAATTCAGTGAGGGTCAAATACTCTCGGAAAGTAGGGCGTAGGGGCACGCTCAGGAGGAAGGTTTCAGGGACATGGCGGAGGACGAAGCAAGAGAGAGATAGAGAGATAGATTAGTTCCAGACTACTGGGTAGTTACCGATAGGAACGTCACTTCAACCACAAGAACAGAACTGGGAATGGTCACGCGATAATAAGGGCAAAAGAAGAAGGAAGAGGAGGAGGAGAGGAGAAGAAAGAGAAGAAGACTCAGATAATAATTTTGGAACAGTGAACCAGAGTGAACCACAAAAAATCAATGGAGATGGGGGAGAAGGGGGGGGGGGGGGAAATAAAATAAAATAAAATAGCAAAGAGAAGAGGGAGGAGGGAGGGAGAGAGAGAGCGAGAGGAGCGGAGGAACGGGGGTGAGCGGGCAATGAAAGGAAAAGAAGCCCTGACTGGCTGGCTGGCTAAGAGGACTGAAAGTAAAAGAGAGGGAAAAGACTCGGAGAGGAAAAGAACCTTCAAAAGTCTAAAGGCTGATAATTAACCCAATGGCACAGTTTCCGCGGATAGCTTACAGAAACCTTCCTGAAATTAGCATGAAATTGCATGCTATCAATTAGCCTCGAGCAAAACCATAACAGGAACAGGAACAGGAACAATAATTGTGGTTTTTCAGAGGTAGTAACTTACTTTGTATGAGCACGTAGTACTCCGTAGACGGGACTTGTAACTTGTCTAGTACAGTACGTACTAATAATGATCGGGGAAAAGGGCCCCGGCCCAGTGGAGTCGAGTGGAAGAGAGGGAGGGGGAGGGGAAATCCCGGGTGGATAAGTTACGTAGTGAGATTACCGGTATGGTACATACTCATACGACTGACTTTGTACTTTACTTTAGGATCTACTTCGTACTCTGTACTCTGTACTTGCTATTTATCCAAGGCTGAGATAGATTGATTAAGATGGCCTGCGCTCAACAGCTTGATTTCCTACATCACACCATAGGTGGTGTTGGTTTCCTTTCCCACGGCCATATCATTTTCACCCTGCAGGCGCTGGAAGGATATGAGCAACGCAACGCAACGCACGCCACGCCGTGGGTTTGTCTTTGGGATTTACCACACAGTCTTCTCGGATTTTCTCACAATTCCAATTGATCCTGAATTAGCGCAAGATGGGTAGCTGGTGGGCTGGCTGATCAGACAATACGTTTTTGGCAAATGCGCAAGTGACCTCTGGAGCAGAGAAAATCCACCATGAGACAGGAGCGACGAAATACATAGGGTATACATTATATATATGATTATATATACAGTACAACTACACCTCGTCGCTGCCAGAAGAAGAATAAAAGAAGAAAAGTTTCATCGTACCGATTAGCCGACCTTGTCTGCTTTAGGTCGTACATTATTTTCCCTGGGTGCAGCTTCAGGTCCTTTAGCGAGCTGGATTCATTTTGACCGGTGATCCGGTGGTTGACTACTATGTACTACTTAGTATTAGTCTGCTGCCTAGCTGAAGCAGTAGGGCATGACTAAGGTGGCTAGTCTGCAGCATTGGTCTCGGCTATACTACGGAGTAAAGGTAGAGGTAGAGATAGAGGTTAGGTTGGAAGCTGGAAAGAACTTACTTAGTACTTCAGGTCAGAATGACATTTGCGAGGACCAAGAGGTGTGTCGGTCCTAAAACGAGGGTGGATGGAAGTTCTAGATTTGTCTCTTTTAGTACGGAGTAGTTCTGGTGGGGAGGCAAACTAAAAAGGAAGAAACACACCCCGAGACAAGAAGCACTAGAGAGATTGGAGACGGTAGGATGTACTGTATGTTGTTACTATCGGTAAAAAACAAAGACTCGAACAACAAGTATACACAACCTTGCTAAAGTAGGCACTTACTTTTACTTGTTTTTCACCAAGAGTTCCCATGGTTTGAAAGGGTAGAAGATGCATTCATATACAAACTTCGTCAGTATGAGAACTGTCGGCGAACCACTTTCTCTCTCCCCCCACTATGTTATTGGGGTTAAGCACAAAATTTGGGGTTCTCTCGCTCTCCAATTGCAAGTCAATTGAGTAATGGAAACCCGCTGCCAGGTGCTGTGATAAGAGCACGGCCCAACAAAAGAACCCCTCTTTATACGTATTATGTAAGGTGACATCCACTCAGTACGCATACGTAAGAAATGTAAGAATCTGGAGATGTGCTTACATAGCCCGTCATGTGCGGGGTCTGGTGACTGAAATGTGACATGCCATGAGGATGATGACATAAACACCAACCACTCAGTAACTTAACTAACCCAACAATAATGTAAGAGTAAGTTAAGACGACCTAACAACAATATCCTGGTGCTAGCCTCAAAATACCTCTCCTCCCTTACCTTCCCTCCTTCTCCCCCCACACCACCACGGTATGGGTATATGTTCTACTTGGACATTTACTCTTCTTATCGGGTGATTCACAACTATTGCTTTGCCCATGATGAGGCCACCGGTGCCGGACCTTGGGGTACCGCGCTCCCGCAAAGCCTCGCTTGAACAGCAGTGGACCGATCCCCGCAGTGCCGCCCCCGCTACCTTTTTCCTGGCCCGCAGCAGCAGTCATACTACCGATCACGATGGGGAGCTTCCCCCCGACGAGATTGAACGTCCCGCGGAGATTTTTTACGGGATACAGAGTCTGGAGGAAGTGGATATTTCAAGAGACATTCTATCGAATTCGTCTCGCAACCGTCAGCCTGACATAGAGGAGTCTTTCACCCGCACTTATCAGCCTCTGTTCCAGGATGAGGAAGAGGAGCGTGAAGCCCGCCAGACAATCCGTCGCAGGTCGACCTTGAAGCCATCAGATATGCTTACTACCAGCTCAATAAAACCCTCTCGGCCTTCTCCTGAGGGACTTTCCTCGCGACCGCTGACCCCTTTGACTTTCGATAACCCGGACGACCACTCATCCCTGCCAAGTAGTCCCCGATCCATCTCAAATCATTCCATGCGCCATCTTGATGACATTTCAATCACCGACGATTTAAGTAGTCAAGCCGTGGCTTCCGGAGAAGAAGCAGAAAAAGATGATGATGATGATGATGATGACTATCGCATAGCGCATTATCCTGTTTCTGACAACACCTCCCAACTGATTATGCCAAGCATCAAGATGCCCAGTCGGAAACCCTTCACAGATCGTGGGAAGGCTCTAGGTCGATTGAAGGTCTTGGTCGCAGGTGCATCTGGTAGGCTGGGAACCGTCAATGCTGCTACCGAGAACGGGATGCTGATATAAAGCTCACAAGGATTGGGAAAGTCATCTCTCATCCAGTCTATAGTTCAGGCCTGCGATGACATTGTACACATGGACGATGTTACCTCGGCCTCCCCTACTCAGATATCACGGCCTTCTATTACTTCTTCTCGAACATCACACAACTCTAGATTTCCACAGGTCGTCACCACGGAAATATACGCTAGTACCAAGCCCTATCCGTCGTGGTGGTCGGATTTGGAGGACTCGCGTGTGCTCCGGCGAAGGAAAAGTACAGGCGACGTTGTTCTGGAGCGCAACATTTGCTTTGTAGATACTTCAGCCACTTCTATGGGTCGATCGGAGCAGACTGATTCGGTCATACAATATATCCGCCAGCAACTTTCTCGAGCAACCACCGCTGTCGATGCCCTGAATCATGATTTCCAGAATTTACTCGCTGGGAACGGTGGGACTCAGGTGGATGCTGTTCTTTACCTCATCTCTCAAGGTGAGTAGTTCGAACTTTCTCCAGGTCTTCAACGGTCGTGATTTCAACCAACACTTTCTTAGAAACCCTCCCCGTGGATATGGAGTGCATCCAAAGGCTCTGTGATTGGACCAATGTCATACCCCTCATTGCCAAAGCAGATCTTTTGACCGACGAGAATATCTTTGCTTTGAAGTCTTCATTCCTGAAGAACGCTCAGAGATTGTCAATCAAGCCTTTTCTTCTAGGCGATTCCAGCACAGACACGGAAGACATTAATGGTCACCTACCTTTCGCGATATCTTCCGCCAAAGCCAGCAACGACGATGTAATGGATGCCAGCACCCTCATGAGCCCAGACTATGTTCAACCTCTGGTACCCTCGGAACTCATGTTGCTGGTTCGGCGGATCTTTGATAGGGAGAACGTTGCCTGGATGCGGCATTCGGCTGCAAAGAAGTTAGCTCTTCAACAGCAGGAAAGACCTTCGCAGGAGCAGCTGCAGCAGGTGGAGCAGAGTCATCTCCCTCTGAGCGCTCTTACACTCGCGCACGGTGTTCACCGTGGCTCTCCCACTTACACTATGGCTCGGCTCGCCGACCATACCCGTCAGGAGGAGCGCTTGGCTCGTGTGCAGCTGGCCAAGTGGGCCTCGGATTTGCAGCAAAGCCTACAAAACGAACGAGACAGGTATGCCGCGATGGCCCGGAGCGAACGCGCCATCTGGCTCACGGAACGTATCGGGGAGTGTGTCGTTGAGGGATCATTAATTCCAATCACACAAACCCCAGGCTTCTGCGGCCTCCATAGGCCTACCGAGAAAGCTAGTGGCGGTGGAGTAGTCCTCCGCACTGCTAATGGACACAACTTGGAGTATCAGGTCGCTCGCCTCAGCCCCCAAGACCCGCTAGGCCTCGTTCGATGGTACGAAGACGCCAGGCAACGTGGGTGGACCGTCGTCCAGGTTGTAGGGAGTTTCGGGGTAATTGGCGGGCTCGCGTTCTGTTTAGCTAAGGCCTGTGGGTTTCCCTCGCGCAACCTGTGCGAATGGCACCTGGACTGGTATAATACCAGCAACTAAGGATGCTGTACCTTGCACTTCAGCCTCTCAGTTCATACTGATGAACGAGCCCCACCCTCATAACTCATTCCCCATCATCCCTCCAAATTACTGGCTTTATCTTCACTCTAGACCTCTCCGGATTATCGCGATTTTCCAGAAGCGTGCTGCCTACATGCCCTTCTGTTACCCAGTATCTTTCACCTCACATCGTCTTCGGCGTTCACGGTCGTCGGCCTGCGTTATCAGTTTGCTCTCGCATATGTTTGGTCACTGCACCGTCCCTCACCTCTCTCTCGCTCGATATCGAATTTCATGCCCCCTGATGAGCTGTCAATTTATCCAGATATATAACTCCGTAGGATGTTCATGCACCTACCCGGCTTCGGGCAGCGTACCGTATCATCTACTCTCGATTCTCCTCATATCTAAATAGTATTTTGTGATTGGAACCCATGTGACCGAAGAAAGATATATAATCTCTGGAGTAGTACGTACAAGGCATCCAAGTGACCGCCTGGCAGTCTACTAGGTATAGAGGAAATAATTGGAGGAACACACCCAACTTTCGAGTTGTTTCAGCTATAGCTTAATGAAGAAAAGTGATCAGTCACCTAACCATTACATACATGTATGTGAATCATGTCCCGACTCATCAGGCTACAAGAATAAACAACCTATGCCGGTCGGTGTATATATAGGCTTTTAGATTTGAAGCAAGCTCTGACCATTGCGCAGGAGAGCATCGATATGACGTGAAATGGCTAGATTTTCCGAGGTTGCCTCGAGTGGCCATCTTGAACGATCTCTTAATTTCTTCTAGGTGGTTAAGCTGTATGGAAAGAAGATCACCTGGCTAGGTTACTTGGGAATCTCAATGCCTTCGACTTTTTGCCCAAGCTCCATGTACCATAAAAGCTAGGCCCTTCCTTAAATTACATAACGGCCGTATGAACCATCATACCGCCGGGCTACAGAAGAACAAGACACAGGCTACGAGAGGCATCACGACACAAGAGAAGCTTTTATTTCTCCAATATGAATCTACCGATCTGAGGATGTCTGCGCCCGAATGAACAAGTAGTGTAGGTGATTTGATCAGACCAGACATATTTTGATTTGATAAGCTGAAGTGTAGAAAGAAACGCTCAAAACGCCGTAAGGAATTCACATGGTGAATCAGGGAGGTGGGGTAATAAACGAAGAGAATGAACAAAGGAAGATCCTTTGCCGTTCCTAATATAATGCAATATTGGTTCAGTGATTAACATATAAATCCCTGAGGCTAATACCGCTGGAACTAGTAAGGGTCATCAAACGCATGTGAGCTTCGTGAAGGAGTCAAGCTTTGCGCGCGACGTTTAGTCGACCTCCTCCATGGAGGACTCGGCGGCGGCAGCGGCAGGGGCAGCCTCCTCGGTAGCCTTCTCCTCGGTAACCTCGGCGTCCTCATCGATGTTCAGACCGAGGGAGACGAGCTTGTGAATGCGCTCAGCGAAGCTGGCGGGCTCCTCAATGGTGAAACCGGAAACAAGAAGGGAGGTCTCGAAGAGTAGTTGAGTGATGGACTTGACGGTGCGGTCGCTCTCACCATCGGCTTCGACCTTCTTCTTGAGCTCCTTGACGATGGAGGACTTGGGAGAGATCTCAAAGGTCTTCTTAGAGGACATGTAAGAGCTCATGGAGGTGTCACGGAGAGCCTGGGCCTTCATGATACGCTCCATGTTGGCGGACCAACCGAACTGACCGGTACGGATAGCGCAGGGAGCACCAACGAGCTTGTGGGAGACGACAACCTTCTCGACCTTGTCGCCGAGGATGTTCTTGAGGCTCTTGGCAAGATCCTCGTACTCCTTCTCCTCCTTCTCACGCTCGGCCTTCTCCTCCTCGGTCTCCTCAAGCTCGAAGTCCTTGGTGATGTCGACGAGCTTCTTGCCGTCGAACTCCTTCAGCTGCGTGAAGGCATACTCATCAATGGGGTCAACCAGGAAGAGAACCTCGAAGTTCTTCTGCTTGAGGCTGTCCAAGAAGGGAGACTTGGCAACGGCCTTGATGGACTCGCCGGTGATGTAGTAGATCTGCTTCTGGTGCTCGGGCATGCGAGTAACGTAGTCGGCAAGGGAGGTGGACTCATCACCAGACTTAGTGGACTGGTAACGGAGGAGCTTAGCGAGAGTCTGACGGTTCTGAGCATCCTCGTGGATTCCGAGCTTGATGTTCTTGTTGAAAGCAGAGTAGAACTTGTCAAACTGCTCACGGTCCTCAGCGATCTCAGTGAAGAGCTCGAGGGTCTTCTTGACAATGTTCTTCTTGATGACCTTCATGATCTTATTCTGCTGGAGAGTTTCACGGGACAGGTTGAGAGGAAGGTCCTCAGAGTCGACAACACCCTTGACGAAGCTGAGCCACTCGGGGATGAGGTCAGTAGCATCATCGGTGATGAAGACACGGCGAACATAGAGCTTGATGTTGTTCTTGGTCTTCTTGGTCTCGAACAGGTCGAAGGGAGCACGCTTGGGAACGTAGAGGATGGCACGGAACTCAAGCTGACCCTCGACGGAGAAGTGCTTGACAGCAAGGTGGTCCTCCCAGTCGTTGGAGAGGGACTTGTAGAAAGCAGCATACTCCTCCTGAGTGATGTCGGCGGGGTTGCGAGTCCAGATGGGCTTGGTCTTGTTGAGCTCCTCCTCCTCGATCTTGCTCTCCTTGACGGTCTTGGTCTTCTTCTCCTTCTTCTCTTCCTCCTCGTCATCGACCTCCTCGATCTTGGGCTTCTTCTCGTCACCCTCCTCCTCCTTGGATTCAGCCTCCTCATCGGGGACCTCCTTCTCGGTCTCCTTCAAGACGTGGAGGTAGATAGGGTAGGAGATGAACTCGGAGTGCTTGCGGACAACCTCCTTGATGCGGCTCTCGTTGAGGTAGTCGGTCTGCTCATCCTTCAGGTGAAGGATGATCTTGGTACCACGGCCAAGCTGCTCACCCTCGGTATCCTGAGTGAGAGTGAAGGTACCGCCGGCAGCGGACTCCCAGATGTACTGCTCATCATCGTTGTTCTTAGAGATGACAGTGACGCGGTCGGCAACCAGGTAAGCAGAGTAGAAACCGACACCGAACTGACCAATCATGGAGATATCAGCACCGGCGGAGAGGGCTTCCATGAACTGCTTGGTACCGGAGCGAGCGATGGTACCAAGGTTGTTGATCAAGTCCTAGAATGGCATGGTTAGCTGTGCGTGACTTCAGGGGAGGTGACTGATGGGCTAGAACTTACAGCCTTGGTCATACCAATACCGGTATCACGGATGGTCAAGGTCTTGGCCTCCTTGTTGGGGATGATGTCGATGCGGAGATCCTTGCCCGAGTCGAGCTTGGAGGGATCCGACAGGGACTCATAGCGGATCTTGTCCAAAGCATCGGAGGCGTTGGAGATCAATTCACGGAGGAAGATCTCCTTGTTGGAGTAGACAGTGTTGATGATCAGCGACAAGAGCTGAGAGATCTCAGCCTGGAACTCAAAGGTTTCGGCAGACATGATGATGGTAGGGAGAAAAAACGGATGAGATTCTAGTGGTAGAGTCTGTTAGTTCGTCACTTCCGCGAATTTGAGTGAGAGATGGGGGAGTTTTGATGGTGAGGTGTGGAAGGCGTGGAAGGAAGAAGAATATACTCACAGGGAAACGTAGTACGACGGTGAAGAGGTATCACAAAGTTATTTCTAACGAACAGAATTAAAGAAGAGAGATGGGGGAGAGAGTAGGGAAGATAGGTTGTAAGGGGAGAGAGGTATAGAAGGAAAAAAATGGCAAGCTTGGGAGGAGGTGGTGGAGGGGGGGAGAAAAGATGGTTGGCAGTTTCAAGGCGGACAGCGGGCACCTTATGCTTGCGGCGGCGGGACACAGAAATTTGGCTCGATTCTATTCTATGGAGTTCTACAGTGGTCTGCAGCGGTCTCCAGTAGTCTCCCGGTGGTCACTAGGCGCTCTTTGACTTCCCCAGGATCTTCCAGTCTGTTCCACACATTCAGATTGTGTTCCTGAATGATCGATCTAGACGGTTCGATCTCTTGTGTTTGGTGTCAAGGTACTCAGTACGTCCATCGATGTACATACTCATCTGTGTTTAGGACTCCTACGTACTCGCCATGTTGGTGTATACCGTACGTTCCTGCGTACACAGTCCGTGCTTGCAGCACAATGATGACTCAGAAGGTTGCCTGAGAACCGAGGCGCTTAATCTAGAACGTTCCGCTCCACTCCACCGTAGACCATCCAGTCAGTCCCCTTCTGTGTTCTGCTTTCTGTTTTCACTCCCATAACTATGAGTAAACTAAGTAGTACGAAGTTACTCCGTAGTAGTCAATCACCCGTCTTTTCCCAACACACATACTGGCTAGTAGCAAGTGAGTCCAATTAACTCATACCCAGTTGCTCGCCTCTTTCGCTCTTTCATGTTGAGATTACCTTAGTCAATGAGCCTTTGCCTTGCCCGCCGCGCCACCGCCACCACCTTCTTGCCTCTCGTTCACTAGACCCTTTTCGTGAATAGTTCAAGGTCTTGGTTTGAAATCTCCCATTGCTAATTCCTAGGTCCTTTTTTTTCCCTTCAATTGGCCGTGGGAGCATACCAAAACTGATGTATTGTAACTGCACTTACATGTCCTGACCACCACCATGATTCTGTGCACCTGAGGCACTGCATTGTCGTAGAGCAAACCTTTTCAAGTCCAAGAACCGGGTCTCACCCATGGTTCACTCTAAAAAAGCTTACCCATCCTACTTCAAGCCACGGCACTCACCATAGCAATTACCTACAATTCATCGTCGGCAAGGGAGGAGACACATTTCGGGAGACCGTATAGGGCAGGAAGATGAAAACATAGACCATATCATGACGGGCAATAAGCTCGCTATGCTGGAGAGGTAGGACACATTCACAAAGGTCATGACAACACAATAAATCAGTAGAAAACCAGAGTCACATAATGACGACCAAGAACTGCCCACTTAGGAAATGATAAGACAACTTTTCCAACCGCTAATATGCATCGTGCCAGAGCAGGGCCACATAACACATGTCATTATTCAGTAAATGGGAAAGGAGGAGGGGGGAAGTAATACATGTCCTGGATCGCCGTGAGCATCTAAAAACATAGAATGGTCTGAAACCAGGATGGAAGGGCTAGAGAAAATCATTGATGACCAGATGAAGAGATTGAAGAGATACAGGAGAGAAGGAGAAGGCCATGGACAGTTTTGACCTCACTGAAAAATTTTCCGTCATTCCTCAGGCAAGAAACCTGGATTCGTGGAGGTAGTTGAGACTTTGAAGAAGTGATAGTTTTTTCTTTTTCTTTTTCTGTTTTTTTGGTTTCTTTGTTCGTCAGGACGTATTTGCAGCTTTAAGCAGTTTGGGTTTGGTTGCGACCCTTGGCATTGACATTGCCGCCACGGCCACGAGGAGCAAAGCCTCCGCGACCATCACGCTGGAAGCCGCCGCGACCCTGGCTGCCGACACGGTCTCCACGACCACGGCCAGCGCCACCGCGACCAGCGTAGCTACCGTTACCACCGTAGGCATTAGTGCGAGCACGGCGCTCCTCAACATAGATCTGCTCGGTTCCGATCTGGTGGGGGTTGGCAGCAACAGCGGCGTTGTAGGCGGCCGCATCGCCGAATTCAACAAAGGCACAGTTCTACATAGAGGACAGAGAAGGTTAGCGTCGACAATCACATGGAAACATAGGACCAGTTGGGGGTAAATGCAAACCTTTTGGCGGCTCACATCGAAGTGCTTGAGCTTGCCAAAGCGTGAAAGAGTCTGCTTGAGCAAGCTGGCATCGACCTTCTCAGTGACGTTCTTGATGTAAGCGAGAACATTCTGCTCATCGGCCGCGCGAGACTGGGACTTCTTGTGGTCGTGCCCAGCGGTTTGCCAACCGGCTCCATCGTTAGAGGGGGGCTGGCTGGGAGCGGACTCGGCAGCGTGAACCGGAGCCGGAGCCTGGGCGGGAGCTGGGGCGGCGGCTTGGGACGAGCTGGCAGAAGCAACTGAAGGGGCAGGGGCAGGGGCAGCCGCAGGCTTCACTGGAGCGACAGGAATGGCGGGAACCACGGGTACAGCAGCGCCAGACTTGGATGCGATGTTGGCCCAGGTCTTAGGAAGAGCCTTGGCCGCGGGTGCGCTCTCCTTAGCGGGGGCAGGGGCCTCCTTCGGCTCAGGAGCAGGAGTGGGCTCGGGGGTCCCGGGTTCCTCAACCTTGGGCGCTTCGACAGCGACGCTGGACTCAGAGGCCTCGGGGGCAGCCTCAACTGGGGCCTCCTGAACCTCAGCGCCATTGGTCTTGGGAACCGACTGCTCAGCGGGTACTTCCTCGACATTCTGCTCGGCTTGCTCAAGCTTCTGGTCAACCTGAGCAGCAGCTGTCTCGTTGTCGACCTGAGTCTCCTCAGCCTGGGGCTCCTCCGCAGCCGGAGCAGGGACAGCCTCAGGCTCAGCCTCAGGCTGGACGGGCTCTTCAGCAGCAGGCTCTTCAGCAGCAGGCTCTTCAGCTGGAGCGATGGGAGCAGCAGCGGGGGCAGCCTCTTCGGTCTCCAGCTCCTCTTCAACATCAACCAGGTACCGGAAGATGTCGTTGAGGACATAGTATCCATTAGGCTGCTCGGCCAGAACGAAGCTCTGCACGAACTTGCGCGAAGGCTCCAATTTGTTGGAGATTTCGCCAATGACGGAGACGAGGATATTGTCGAACGAGGCCTGCGAATCAACGTTCAACACACGGACTTTGCAGTCTTGGAAGTCCAGCTGCTTAATCTTCTCATTGATAGCCTTGAAATACATCTATCGTCAGAAATTGCTTTTTTCCCGATAGCGCTGATGCGATGACTCGCTCAAATGAGGTGCACCTACCTTCTGACCCACTGCAACCGGGACGCTCTCCGCCTCCGTTCCAAAGACAAATTGAGAGCGTTTGGAATAGAAGAACTGGAGCTTCTCCGGACTACGGCTCATGTTGGTATAGTACTGCTCGACAAAGTACCAACCAACCTCATCCTTGGCAATGCCATTCTTCTGCTCGGTCGAGGGCGCGTTCGAGGGAGTGGTAGACTGCGCAGGCTGGAAGCTGGCAGCGCTATTCACATTGGCATGGGTGTGGTTGTAGGAATCGGGATAAGCATGTTGCGCAGGGTAGCCGTTCAAAGGAGCCTGGGTCGTGTCGGCCATTGTGTGTTGAATCAAAATTTAGGATTGAGAAAATGAAGGTGCGAGACGAGGAGGCGTAAATCGCAAGAGCTCAAGGTATATAGGCGATGAGAACCGAGCTTTATGTGACAGAAAGAAAATAGTGGCGGTGGAGCTCTATCGAGAAGACGCTTTTTCACCCGTCTATGAAGCTCTTTGTTAATAATCACCCGGCTTTGGAAATATGTCGTCAGATGAGGGACGACAGGAAAGAAACGGCAGCACATAAAAAAGGAATTCATGAATGTGCAATGTTAAAAACGGAGGAGCTGCTCACTAGGTATGCAACAAGCTAGACAAGAAGGACAGAAAAGGAACAATTATGTTCAAGATGTTGGCGCGTCGAAGTCGTCGAGGTGTGAAATAGAGGAAGTCTTGTGCGATTCGGAATTAGTCAAAGTGCGGTACGAAGGAAAGCCTGAGGAAGAAGTGGATAAGAAAGAAAATCAGGGCGAGAACGGAGGCGTCAAAAGGCTGGAAGAATTTGAGAAGCAAGAGAGATTTGGGTGGGGAGCAAGCTGTAGGTGGTTGACGGAGATGGTTTGAGGAAGTGGTGAATATAAGAGGTTGGTTGGTAAGTTAGTGGATGGAAAAGGCCTGCTGGGAGCGTTGTCGAACCCAGAAAAGCCCGCTCGGCAGTATGCTCACCGCCTGTCGAATCAAGGCCAGTTGACCCCCGAGGCAAGAAATAGTCACGAACGATAACTTTATATCTTCGGATTGCTTTCGGATTATGGATGATATACTCCGTAGGGTCGGGAATCAGTGACACTCAATTCGATCTAAGTATCTCAGGTGTTGCAAGTGCTCTTCCCAATGTCGGGAGGAACAATCCTGCGGTAATGCTACCCACCAAACGTCATGGGTCGTTCAATTGACAGGTGTGATCGTTTGGATTGGAAGGCAAAAACAGATAAGTTCCATCAGGGAATGGTATTGCCAGGAGTATCTACGTGTTTTGGCCTGGCTGAGAGCAGCTGTACGACCAATGATAATTGACCACCAATTCGACCACTATTCTACAGGTAAGTGCACGTATGGCAGTGATCTGTTCACTCGACTATACATATGAAGAAACACAAGCACCACGTTTCTAATGTAACATCGAGTATTGCAAGAAGCTTTCACCGAGGTCAGATATAACGAACAAGTAGAATCACGGGATATGTAGTGACAGCCACAAGAGGCATTGAAGTTGCAGAAACAGAACAGCTGGCTCGAGGCAGGGGTATGAAAACAGATATTAGACAGGCTTCTCATCCAGAAAGTGATAATTATCAAACGCGTTTCAAAGGATTCCGTCGCAGCAGATACCGACAGGCTGAGGGAAGAAGTGACTTTGATTCCCAGGGCGCGTGGATTCCGATCACAAAAAAACCATAAGAGTCATGCACGGTAACCAGTCGACATCTCAAAAAAAGGCATTGAGGGTTCATATCAAGGGGACGCAGTCGAGTCGACCACGGCCTTCTCATTCAAAGTGGGCTCGCGCATGATGGCATCCTGGCCTGTCATTCTTCGGTCCAGGGCGCGCTCAACTTTCGCTCCTAGCGCCAATTTGCTGAGGTTGTCGCTCTTCTCGGGGGTAGGAACAAAGCGCTGCTTCAGCAGTGGCTTGTTCTCCAATCGCTCCAAACCGTCCCGCAGATGGTGAAAGTCGGCCAGCCGGGGATCTCCACTGGGCAGACTCGAGAGATCCGATGACGCAACCGAGGGACTCCCGCTCACAGTCGAGAATCTCTTCGACGTCCGGTTCTAGAACCTCGGGTCAAAATCCAAGCACCGGTTTCCGGAAGTAACAAGCTTACAGATTGAGCCATGATTGGTCTTTCGGAGTCGAGCGAGGTGTGTCTGGCCATAGCTGGATAGGGAAAATCCTTAAGGAAGGGGCGGAGAGTTGAAAATTGAGTGAACTTCGCTGCTGGCAGCTGCGCAATGAGGTTATTGTGACTAGACGTGGGTTGAATTAAACATGATTAGCAATTGATGGGCTCACAGCAATGATACATAGGGAGGGACATGAGAGTAGAGAATGCTATAATAATGAAGAGGCCAATGCGATCTCTCCTTTCACAAGAAGATTAACAAGACACTGGGGATAACATCTAGCACTGGCACCCACGCTAAAAGAAACTCGGACGGACTAGATAGGGCTTGCGCAAGTATGCATACCTCTTAAGGGGTCACAGTCGGAAAGGGGCGACGCGCCACTATTGTCTGTTCTTCCACCGGAGGAATGATGAGGAATAGAGGAATCAGAATTGGGCGAAGATAGAGAGATAGAGTATGTGTGTAAGCAAGCGCGAGAGAGATGGATATTATAAAAGGAAAAAGAAGAGAAGGGGGAAAGGGTAAAGTAGAGGTAGTAAGCAGGAAACCGGAGGTAGGCGGCGTAGGTGAGGTGAGGTGAGGTGTGTACGTGCGCACATGCGTTGAGCGTTTGTTCAAGGATTTGGGGGGTGGATTTGGGAGGAGGGGAGGGGGGGAGGGGGGGAGATGTCAGTGGGTCGCCCGCAACAGGAGCGGTATTTTTTTTGACTATGTAATAAAAAGATGGAAATTGAAAAAAAAAAAAAAAAAAAAACCTTGGAGAAATAGATATACTCAAGTAAAATGTCTATGGCCACGAATTCTATAAAGGTCAAGAATTTACAAAGGAATCTTAACTCTAACCTTGTGTATCTGAAGTTTCACTTTTTCCTTCCCTTCTCTTTTCTCTCCTCATACCCTATTGTCCATGTTGGCACTGCAATTCAATTCATACTCATGCCCCTGGTTAACTTACAACTCGACTTACAAGCGACAACCCGGGGTGGATTTAGGTAGCCATGTCCGTACTCGGGGTCTAGCCCAGTCAGTGGTCAACCTTTTTTTATTTGTCCTCTGGTAACCCACAGCCTTTGCACAGCTGTACTGAACCTCACTAGTACAGTACATACTCTGGATTTGTCTTTTTCTTTCCTTAAGAACCCGGTTATGCAGCACGCCACACCATGTCAGACTCTCCGAGACGGTCGGCTCGGGTAAGTGATATGAGACATCAGACGGATAGCAGCTTGATCATCAGCCAGGGGTTCTCTGCCGTCTGAACATAACTTAGGTAGACCACTACTGGAGTAAGTTACTCATACTACAGGCTGGAGCGGATTGTCATATCACCGGTCTTTAATCCTAGAGTAGGAACAATTCATGACGATCAGTTAGGTTGAACACTGCGACCACCAATTGCCCTGGCTTCCCTGATTGCTTCTCACAAAAGGAACCTTGAAGGTAATTGATTTTCGCCAAACACATAGAGGAACAAAATTGATTAGTTGTGCCTGGTTATTCATTGATCGGGATCGCCTAGAGGGAAAAAAAGAGTGCTTTCTTTGTCTTTCTGCGGGCTGGTGGTTATCGAGATCCACGACGATCTAAGAACAGCGATAAGAGGGAATCAGAGCATGAGGCGGCCCTCCATCAGCACCATAATAGATTAAAGCCAGAACCAGCCCTTTGCCCGCCACGTGCCAGAGATTGCCATATCGCCACGCGAGCTGATCTCATAGCTTGTGACAAAAGGGAAGGCAGGGGGGGGGAAGGGGCAGGTGGTCTGCACATTGAACTCAATCGCTCTTACCCGAGGGAGGGGGAGAATTCGGCACTTTCAAGGTTGCTGGTACTTCTTTGTCTCCTTTCAATCAGATGTTGATTCGTTGACATAGCATGATAAAGTTGAAGTGCTCAGTACCTACAGGTAGTTATTGTCAAGCACCTAGAGCGCCCTGTCCTGGAGGTATCAATTACTACGTCAATTCAATTGCAAGGTCTGCGACCTGATAGTACAACAGATGCATCATCTTATGCTTGACACGCCCAGTGCTTGTGTCAGAGGCTTGTTCAACATTTGCAAGACAACCTGACAACACTCTGTCGGAGAGACATTGTGCTTTCTGGACTCGACTCTCGGGTACGACCTACACAGGAAGATGACATGTGAACTTTGCTGGTTCAATGATACTTGTCACAATGCATAAGAAGTTAGGTACCACATGTGCTGTAGTACTCCGTACACCTACTAAACTGCCGATTTACCCAAATGTGGGTTGTTGTTCGGCGATCCCCGCCCGGAGTACGGATAGGACTTGCAGCGTATTGTACATAGCACAGATTATGTGTTAGTAGTCTAGAGAACAGTTGAAGTGCATCCATGATCGGTGGTTATTGTCAATTGTCATTTCAAGCATTGAGTGGCACTTGACAAAGAAGGCGGTGTCGCCGAGATGGCTCCGTCACCTGATGCGGGGAATAAGAAACCTTGCGACGGAAAAGTACGTACTCCGCCCCGGGTTCCACTACGTGAGTCTTCAGCTCTCAAACGAGACTTCCCATCTAGTAGTCAGCTTTAGCTTATATTATTATCGCGTCTTGTACTATATTGTACACTGCACTGAGTCTCATTGGCAAACCCTCACAATAGTAGACTTGATCTGGGAAGCATCTGACAATTTTGTTCCCAACAGCCAACCAAAGAAAAAAACAAGAAAAGAATAACAACAAAAAAAAAAGAAACAAAAAAAAAAAAAAAAGAATGCCGAAGCCAAAGGCCTTCCTCAAGGAAGCGAAAACCAAAAAGAAGGCGGCACAACGAGTATGGATCCAAAACCGGCTGTTTGTTTCTTGCAATACTAATAATTCATCTCAGACTCCCGAAACCTCAGATGAATACCTTGCCCGTATGTCACAAGACTACCTATTCCTATAGACGCCCGCCGTTGCGTAGGTTGGGTGCTACGGTACGAGGCTAACTGAGCCCCATTAGTCGGTGTCGAACAAGAAGAAGCCGGAGAAAAATGGCGGGCTGGAGACGCTGCCAAGTCGCTGCGCTTCTTCATGCGTGCCATTAATACCTACGATGAAGGCTTGATCAAGCACCCGAGTGCATTTGACTTGGCCTATAACAAGTGAGTCGCAAATCATCCTCAACCTGCCTTGCCAATTCACCGAGTGCTGTGATTGTTTCTTCGAATGCCGGTTTGACATACAGTAGAGCTCGAGTTCAATATGAAATCACACAGAATCCGAAATTGAAAGCCCAGCTGTCGGCCCCGTTGGGTGATGTCCTGCAAGAGGCACTGGAGTCACATAGAGCGGCGCTTGCTCTAGAGCAAGATAATCCTGACGCACTCTTCAACACAGGCCAGGTACTGACAAGCATCGCTGAGATATTGACCGATTCGAAGCATCCATCCGACGAGCGCCTTTCGCAGGCTGTGAAGATTCTGCAGGAAGCGATCGAGATCTTCCAGCGTTGCCTGCTTCTACAGGAGCTGAAGTTTACGGAAATGCAGGAACAAATCAAACTACTGGAATCTGCGGACGCCGGACACCCAGAGGTGGAGCCGCAGAACACACAGAAGATTCCCGAACAATCATCGGAGTCGAAACAAACGGACGAGCAAGAACAATGGGCTGCAATTATAGAACCAGTGACCAAGGATACATTGGTGGACACGGCAGTAGCACAACTCGATACATTGACAACTCTCTGCAACCTGCTTACATTCAACCCTGGGGTCGGCCTGGGATGGGTGGAGGAGTACTCATCCGACCTACTGCAAAAGCGCATCTCCACCTATGTGGAGGGATCGAGCAGACACTATGAGGCAGCTTTGGCCCGAGCCAAATTCACCTGCGGGCTGAACGAACTGCTCTATAGAAGCGGCCAAATCGAGGCTGAAACGTATTCCGGCGAGATCTCACAAGCTTTTGGCGCGGGTTTAGATGTCTCTACCGATCCGGGCGGTCTGTGCAGCAAAGCAGATGCGCTGACGTCGTTCAACACTGCCCTCATCGATCTTCCTCCTTACGAGCCTGAAGCGTTCACGAGAGCGTTGTCATTGCGGTGGCAGGCACTTTCTGCGGCACTGGACGCTCTCACAAAAGCATCCAAGCATCCCGATGCAGATGACTTGCCCAAGATCCACCTAGCCAGGGGAGACGTGGAGATAGCTAGGTGGAGACTTGGCATGTCTCCCTGGAACTATGCCATGGCTCAGCAATACGGTGCCACACTGCTGCGCAACGCGCAAACCTACTACCGAGGAGCCGCAGCACTAGCCAGGAGAGACGGAGCCTCAGAGGAGTTGCGGGACGGATCGTGTAAAGAAGCCATTGCAGCGGCTCTGGAAGGACAGAAGCAGAAGCTGGAGGAGCTCAGAAGAGCGGCGCCAAAGGAACTGATGATGGTAGCCGAAGACGTCGTCGATGATGGATGGATGAGCCCTGGTGATATGGAGGTGCTTCTGTCATAGACATCGCGCTATAGCACGAGGAGGATTATACAGCCCGCCGTTCTTCGAATTCCAGAGGTTGCCCGTAATATGATATCGCGTGGGTACGAAGAGTTCAATCATATCTCAGAGCGAGCCCTGATTTCCTCAACCATCTCTGCAGCCTCCTGGCGTAGATTGTTATCGCTGCCGAACTGCGTCGCAGCGGCAGCAGCGACCTCCAAGTCCGCAGCAACAGACTCCAAGCCTACGAGCAGGTCCTGAATCTCCCTCCTTTGCGCTTGCACCCGTTGCGCCAGCTCCGCGTTCTCATTTTGCACCGATTCGATCTTGTGGTTCAGAGACGACTGCGTTTTGCGCATATATGGTAGGAGATGGGATCGAAATAGTTCATCAGGAGGCAAGGTATGCGGACTATTTGTAGAGGCCCCTCGGTCAGTCCATCAATCGCCGTTACGCACCGAACATCCCCAAAAGAAACCACCAGGAATAACAAAAAGAGCGCAGGGAGAAAATGAAGAACTTACGCAACACTCTCCTGCCCGACCCCATGATCTTTCCTATACTTCGCCTCCCCGACCAACCGATCCAGCTCATTTAACTGCCGGACAGCATCCCGCTCCGTCAAGATGTCCTCAAACTCCGCTTTGGCACTCTCCTCCAACTTCGCATTCAACTGCCGCCAAACGGACTCCAAGCTGGCGGGCACATGCTTGGCGGGGGTGGGGAAACAGCTCGAGAAGTTCGCATATGAATTGGCGCGCAAGGTACGCGCAAGTGCTTTGTCGAAGATCTCTTGCAGTTTGGCGACGCGTGGGCCGGGAGTCAATGCGACAGGGGCAGGAGGGGGAGGAGAGGGGGAAGCAGCGGCTCGGGCGGTGGTGCTGTTCGCGGAATTGGTATCTTCGGTCATTTTGCGGTAGAATGCGTTCAACCAGGTATTAAGAGGAGACCGTATGTCAGGATGTTTTCTTTTCTTTTTCTCTTCTCTTTTGTTGTATTCCTTATTTCTTTTTGTATTTTTGTGGTCTTGTTCTTCCGCCTGCGATTGAGTTGTCAGGCAGGGTTTCTTCTATCGAGCGTGGTTGAAGATGCTCTGAGGTGGAGATGGGTCGGCGGAATTACGATGGATGCACGGGCGAGACGCGCCGGAAGACGCGCCCATCACGTGATCTCAATATTAGAGCTTCCACATACTCCATACATACAACGATGATGATAATGCTGATCACAGAGGGCTTGACAACTATTTCAAAAGTGCGACTGTAAGATTGTACGCAATGAGATAGGCATAGTAAGTCTGATTAGACTAGACAACGCTGTAGTCCCAGAAACTGGAATACATAGAAGAGAAATCAAAATGATGTATTATACAAGCACGAAAGTAAAGTTTCAATTGTCAACCAATGCTGCTTGAAGGCCTCATCGGTGGTAGGTTTGTCCTCAGCGAGCCAAGATCGCTTTGCGGTTCTCAGTGCAATCTCACTGTCGGTGCTGGCTCTCGGACTCAATTGACCCTGTCTGGTCTTCAGCTTGGGCGCAGGCCTTCCTAGTCGGGAGCAAGAGTTCTTCAAATGCTGGCCATGAAATCGACACATAGATTATACTATTCCAAAACCCTTGTAGTGGTAGCACCAGACCTGAGATGTAATTCAACTCGAAGTTGGCCTTGTGTGGGAGCACCAGTGAATAGACTCGATTGGCGGTTGACGGCACCTGTGCAATCTCGTCAGTCGCAGTCCAGATCAATAGAGTCGGCAAGTACTCACCCATGTGACTAGCAGGGCAATGAAGAAGAGGATTGCATATTTGCTGTAAGCCCATGCCGCCGAATTCGTTTCCATCACGGTAGTTCGGCGTTGGATGCCGGTGCTGACCTGGTCATGTCCGAGAGATTGCTCTGCAGTTTTCTCGCTGTCCTTGAGATCGCTACCGGCTTGAATAGTGACTGAATATGGGCAGTAGAATGTGTGCAGGCTCTTGGTCGATATCGGATCTTCATCCCCCTCCAGGGGCACTTGCATAGTGTGCACAATCTCCCGGGTTATAGAAAACTCTGTCACTTTGGAAAGTTGGATGTCTTTCAAGCTAGCTGCGGTGCTGGAAGAATCTGTGTTTCCAGCACGGTTCAGTTGCTGCCGCTTCTGATAGATCACGCTGCCTGTGCGCGCGTAGATAAAAATGGTCAAGCACATAATTAACCACACTGGTCCGTAAAACAGGCCAATGCGTAGAAAGTCCCAAGGGGTCGAGACCCAGCACCAAAGCTGCAAGATTGTCTCAGTATGAAGGAGCCTGGTGGGACTGTTCAGATACCATGGTTACACTTACTGTAGCTGCGCCGTATATCTTTCCCCGTGTCTCTGTCTCGATGAAGAAATATACAAAGGCAGGAACAAAAGGTAGCCCGTAACAAGCCAGTAGGTACTTTACCTCCAGTCGTCGCAACTTTTCAGAGTCATATTTGTGGAAGAAGGTAAGCCAGACATTGCAGGCCATAGCAAATGTCCACAGGGCATCAGCGGGCATAAACCTATTGCTCCAAGTCAGTGATGGCTGCCATACGACATCAAAGACATATAAGAAACAGACCATTGGATAAGAAAGCCCTGGAACTGGCAGAGGCCGCTTGCAGTTCCCAACCGGACACCTGACTGAGACATCAGTGTCGCGACATTGGCCATCATGTTGCCCCATGATGCATAGAAAACTAGGCGATTGATGGGCTTGCGGAAAGAAGAAGAGGAAAGGAAAGAAATGACAATGACGAAAGTTCCCAGAAGAGACACAGCCGAACAGACACGCTCCGTTACCGAGATGGCTTGTAGTTGGGATCGCGATAGCGACATTGTCTCACAACGAGGCAAAGCTGATGCAAATAGCCACACAATGAATCTTCTTTTCCATCCTAAAACCTGCAGAGGCCCCGGTCAGATATATCAGATACCCCAAGGTTTCTCCAACAAGTCGGGACTCTGATATTCATTCAAGGACAGGATCCAAGCCCCTATAGTCTCGGCATTACTGGTAGAGTCGGGGGTCAACCTCCAGAAGTAAAGGAGCCAATTACTTCTCAATGTAAACCAACATTCTGAAAAGAAGCACAGTGGTAAACGATCATACGCCGTTGTGAGCCTTTCAGGACTCAAGAATCCAAAGGGGACCACTTCGTACGCTCATTGTTATCGATTGTCTGATGGGAGGCAGAGCCCCTGTTTGAAGGATTGGACGTGATGAGATTGGTCTTCATGTTCCCAACTCTTGTCCCGGAGCCATGGATAGGACGATCTTACCCTCATCAATTCCTCAAACTGTCTCTCTAACCTCATGTGGCATGTCCATCGACAGATTCATGCAACGAGCCTTACAGCGGGAGGGAATGATGGTAGATGTTGATGTACAAGGGCGAATAAACCTTGATTTTTATTTTCTATAAAAGAAAAGGGGGGGAGGAGGACAGGGAAATTAAATGATTGGTATAGGGCTATAGGCAATAACTAATACCAGGTCAGCAGGAACTCAGAGGATCATGACGCTCTTAGCACCTGCATAAAGAAACAGTTGGTGTAGCAAGTTGGATCGGCGGCGGAGCCCTATCTGACGATGCAATGTCGATCATCAATTCTCGGGTTAGGAGTGAACACTAGTCAATTTGGAGTGGAAGCAAGGAAGAAAAACAATTTAGAATTCATACGAGTGCATTTCGAATATGTGCTGTCACAACTACAGGTCTCACCCCACTTGATTCTTGATCATCGGCCCAAAAAGCATGGCTGTCAATCCCAAAAACAAAGTATAAAACACGGAGGGAAAATTGCTCACTGGGTCATAGTTTCAGGGATCAGAGTATGCATGCCTCCTTAGCCCTTACTGTGGAAACGCATGGAACTGATGCCCTGCGTCGCATGCGACAGGGCTGACGCGATATGCTCAATCAGGTGCGTGGCATATTACCATTTGAGAATCCACGAGTACCTGTATGGGTGGTAGCGGATGGATCAGGCACGAAATGATAATCAGAGTATAGATTGTAGTTACCTGCTGACGATAATCATCTCGCATACGCTAATATGAGCTGAAAGCAAGACGGGAATCTGCGAGAACCAAGGAGAAAGAAGAGAACACCACATCGAGCCCTTCTTCAAGTATAACGCCACACTCTCCGTTCTAGAACCAATCCAAGTGCTTCATCATGTCCTTCATCTCGTAAAAGTCAATAAGGTGCAAAAGGTGAGATATAATCGCAAAGCACAAATCAGAACACGGGATGCGATAGTAGACAGTGATAATTCTCGACTGCTGATGGCTAATACGCTTGCTGGGGAGGGACCATCCCGCCATATGCCCCGGACATCTGTTGCTGTTGCTGTTGCTGCTGCTGTTGCTGCAGCTGCGCCTGCAACTGAGGGAGATCGTGGAACCAAGGATGTTGCAGGGCGTCGTGGGCACTGATGCGCATCTCGGGACGGAGCTGAAGCATCCGATTCAACAGATCCAGCCCCAGAGGATCGATCTGGGGGAGAATCAGGCCAAGATCTTGGGTTGCATACACGTGGAAATTCGACTTGTACTCCGGCAGTTGAGAGATGCCGGGCCATGAGCGCTCCGAAGGTGTGCCCATAAGACGGAAAATCTTTTGGAGTTGATCTTCATTGGTAGTGCCAGGGAACAGGGGCCGACCGGTGTAGAGTTCTGCCATGATACAGCCAGCCGACCAGATATCAATGCTTGTGTTGTAGGTTCTACTGCCTAGCAAGACGTCTGGGGCACGGTACCACAGCGTCACAACCTCGTTGGAGAAAGTGTTGACGGGAATGCCAAAAGCACGGGCCAGGCCAAAATCCCCAAGTTTCAACTGTCCTTTCTTATTGATAAGAAGGTTCTGGGGTTTTAAATCACGATGCAGAACCCGGTTTTCATGGCAGAAAGCAATGCCCTTCAAGAGCTGATGCATGAACGACTTGATGGTTGCCTGGTCCAGTTGACCCCGATCGCCCCGGGTATCCATGTACTTCTTGAGATCCTTATCCATGTATTCGAAGACAAGCATCAGCTTGTTCTCTGTGTGGATCACATCGTAAAGCGAAACAATACTTTCATGTTTGAGCTCTTTCATCAAAGAGATTTCGCGAATCGCGGTCGATGGCGTTCCTTCTTCGGAGTCTAGATGGATCTCCTTTAGTGCAACCAGCTCACCGGTTTGGCGGTTTCGTCCTTTGAAAACCTAGGGTAACCGTCGGATAAGTATTTACAGCGACTTGTAGTATGAGTTGTCACCGCGCGCAGCAGCGAAGGCAGGAAAGGGGAAGAATCACATACGGTAGCATAGGTACCCTCTCCAAGCTAGAATCGGCCAGACCAGAGTTAGTAAGGATAACGAGAGTGTATGGGGCGTCGAAGGTCAAGGCTCTTACCTTCTCCAGCTGCTGGAAAGAGCTAGGCTGTTGCTTGTCCATTGCTGGCGACGCGGTGGTGAAGGTTTCCTGTGCGACCGATGGTTGGGGGTGATATGATGGCGGTGGCGGTTTAGGCCGCTGCGAGTGAGTGAGAAATGACTTGGGTGAAACGAGGGTTGAGATGAGGTCCAGATAGGCGGTACGCTGCAAGGAGGGGTTGGAAGCAGATCGTGAACTGTTGCGACTGTCCATGGAAATGATTGATGCTAGAAGGGCGGCGGGCAACGATCAAGTCAACCAACTGAGCCCCGCGCCTGGGTCGGAGATGGACAGGCGGAGGCAGACTTCGCCCAGTACGTTCCAGGTTACCTTCGGGCTTGACTTTGCCGCCCGGCTTGTCCTCCACTCCAGCCAGTCACCGGCAGGTACTGTGCTTCGTGGGTAGGTGACTAGGTATAATTATAGTACCTATTTTCTAAATGTAACTAATCATCTAACAGAGACTGCTCCTTTTTTTTCTGGTTCCTTCTCTATTCTTTTTTTCAATACGAAGTCTGGTACTGTACATGCTGACGATCATCAATGCTCACGATGAATCTCTCTCTCTCTCTTTTTTTTTCTATCGTCCTTTGCACACGACTTTTGGTGGAATCTAATGAACTAGAACAGGGAGTTGAGCAGCCACCGGTGCTAGAACCGACTCCGAGGGGAGACTAAAACGAATGAATCGCGAGACGACTTCGTCATCTCCTCCAAAGAGAACCGCTTCATTCCTAACGCCTCCAATATTAATAATCCCGATAGGCATGCCTCGTTTATAAGCCCGTTCCACTAAGCGCCAGGCTGAATACGTTGCAAGACTGCTTCCCAAAACCAGCAGTCTTCCAGCGTCGTCGATCGCTTCCTGTGCTGCTTCCTTCACGGCAGGATCGATGTTCTCGCCAAACATGATGACGCCGGGTTTCAGAATCCCGGCAGTGGAAGAGGGAAGCCAGGCCCCGTCCGCTTCAACTTCCACCCGTGCTAATGCACCATCTTGCAAACGTGGCGGCTTCTCCAAGCAGGTCGGACAGGAAGGGTATCGGAACGTCGAGTATGGTGCCTTCGGCAGATCGACGTCTCCATCGGGGTTGATTTTCAACCCCCTCCGCCGCTGCTCCTCCCGGTTGTTGGTATCCAAGGCGCCAAGATCAGTCATTCTTGCCAGAAACTCGGCCCAAGCCGGGTTGAGTCTTTCGAGCGATCTCTGGAAATCATCTCGAGGCACCTGGTTTCGGCAGTTGACGCAGAGCACCGATCTTAAGTAGCCATGCAGCTCGAGGGTAGGCAGCTCGGGATGGGCGATGGAATGGAAGGAGTCCACGTTCTGGGTAATCACTGAACTAATATAGCCCTTGGCGCCGATGTCCCGGATGGACAGATGCGTTGAATTGGGCTTGGACTTCAAAAGGCCCGGCCACCCGATGAAACTGCGAGCCCAGTATCGTTTGCGGGACTCGTGGCGGGTGACAAATTCGTGATAGTAGACCGGTCTATATGCTTTATTTGTTCTATATGTGCCATTCTCCCCCCGATAGTCGGACAAGCCCGATGCGACCGAGATGCCTGCGCCCGTCAGAAGCACAGTCTGGGCATGTCTGCCGACATCCACGCCACGCAGGTAGGGGGAGGGCGAAGCTGTCAGAAATGATCGGAGGGCATCAATGGCACCCGCAACTGTACGAGCTGACGAAGGAACAATGATAGGGGGAGGTAAGGGCCCGGTAAAGGGGATCCGAATCGAAGGTGCAGTCATTGAGAATCCTCATATTGGAGAATTTGGAAAATGAGGGAGGGGGTGGGCAGTAGGAATAATTAACTTGAGTTAATGAACGAATGTACGGACAGTACTTAGTAATAGTTAATAACTAACTAACTAATAAATCATGGATCCCGTCAATGCCTCAATGGTCAATGCTGTCAGTATTCCGTAGTTACTGTAACTTGGTTGACTTTGTTACTCATTAAGTTGTTGATTACTGTATGAGTACTGTACAGTATCCGAGGTGTGGTATTTTAGTTACCGTAGGGGTCGAGATCAATCGACTTGCACAGTAAATGCACTACGAGTATATATGGCTGGGTAAGTCACTTCCTAGGTACAGTACTTATACGGTACAAGTATAATACGTCTAGCAGTCGATCCCTGATTTACCCCGGATTGTCTCACGTGATCCGCACTTCCACCTCATTCCTCCTCGGCAGAGTCTGCGGACGTCATTTCTGAGTATTTATTATTGACATTGCATTCCTGCTGATATTCTTTTCCGGTTCCCACAACACAAGCAGAGACAAAATCGCGTCAGTAGGGAGCAGGTCTCTACCACGCTCTAGTCAAATCTCCAGCAATACACCACAGAAAACCGGCCATGTTTCCCGCACAGACCGGCAACATCAATCTAGAAGCCCTCAGTGGAATATGTGGGTAGGTGGCCACTACTCACCAAGCTCTACAAAGCTCCCCTCCCCCCCCCCCCCACATCGAACACGGTGGTTCAATTCGTGTCTCTCTTTTTTCCTATACTGACGTAAGACCAGATCGATCTCAATTGCCTGCTGGGTGGTAGTTTTTTCGCCTCAAATCATTGAGAATTTCCGCCGTGGATCCGCCGATGGCCTTTCACTGCTCTTCCTGATTGTCTGGCTGGCCGGTGATGTGTTCAACATCCTCGGCGCCGTGCTACAGGGGGTCCTACCGACCATGATCATTCTCGCCGTCTACTACACCCTTGCCGACGTCGTCCTTCTCGCCCAATGCTTCTACTACCGGGGGTTCACCCTCCGCGACGAGGAGCCATCCCCGCGGCAGCGGGCCTCGGCAGCTTCCTCCCTCCACAACGAGGAGGAAGCCTACGTGGATGATACGGAGGTGCCGTCCCCGGTGATGGCGCGCAAGCCGACGGAGCAGACCGCGCTCCTTGGCTCCACCAAACAGCGCGGCGGCGGCCCGTCCTACCAGGCCAGCAACACCACCAGCTCGGCATCCTCCGTGACCATCACCCCCCATCACCCGCAAGACCACCAACGACCAGCCCCACTCACGAGTAGTCGTCGGCACTCATCCGCATCGTTCCTCCACCCCTCCATCGACGGCACGCACCTGTCCCCGGTCACGCCCTTCATCGAACCCGTCAAGGAACCGCGCCCCGCGCGCACGCTAAGCACCCTGCAAACGACCCTCTTCCACGCCTCGGCCATCACCCTCGTCTGCGCCGCCGGCGTTCTAGGCTGGTACATCAGCCAACGCACCGCCCAGCCCTCCGGCGACGACAACAACCGTCACCACGACACGTCTCCCGCCTCGGATGCGTCGCTCGAAATGGACCCCTTAGGCCAGGTCTTCGGCTACCTGTGCGCCGCATTGTACCTCGGCTCGCGCCTCCCGCAGATCCTGCTCAACTACCGCCGCAAATCGACGGACGGCGTCTCCCTTCTGTTCTTCCTGTTTGCATGTATCGGCAACCTGACCTACGTGCTGTCCATCCTGGCCTACTCGCCCGTCTGCGCAGACGCCCGCTCGCGCTCGAGCGCGAGCTCTCCGCTCCACGCCGCCCATGATCAGAGACGGTGCTCCCCGACCGAGCTCTCCACCAAGTACGGGCAATACATCCTCGTCAACCTGTCCTGGTTGATCGGGAGCTTCGGCACCTTGCTGCTGGATATGTGTATCTTCGTCCAATTCTTCTTATACCAAGATAACTCCAGCGAGGAGTTCACAACGGATGTCAGTGCGGACGAAGATGAGACCGTTCGCGGATGACGGCGATAATGATGCCGACGGCGTCGAAGAAGCTGATGATGATGAAAATATCTGATTGTTTTGGGTGGGGAGTCCTACTTGTGGCTATGGGGTTGGTGGTTTTGAAAGAAAAAGTTTCCCTTTCTTTAAATCTTGTGGAGTTATTGGTCTTGTGTGGCGTATCTTTGGTCAACTGGTATATGGTGTTCGCGTGTTTTGCCTTATCGCCCCAGCCAGCGATCATTTTTCATTCTCCACTGTATATATATACTTATACGGACCCAGGAGCTTAGAGCAGAGATAATAGACATTGTATCTTGTCTCACGTCATCCATTTTAGATTAATGTTGAAGAAGATTAGCAGTTACAACACCTTCCTACCTACAGCCAGTCTCTCACAGGGGAGCCGGCAAGCGAACATGACAAGATCCATCCATCAGCCATCAGCTAGCGTACATCCCCCCTCAGACTCCCTAATTCACGCAAGAAGAAGCAAGATGCACCTCGAAACACCCGCTAGTAATCCCCAAAGGACAATTTCTCAAACGCAAACCGCGCCGCAAAACTCCATGATTACCGCCGAAGGGAAGTAGTTTCCATCCAGGCAAAAAATGATGCGCCCTCTCACAGACCAGACCTTAAACCGCTCATGGGCTGGAGGTTTATAGCCTTAAGAGAGACAGCATCCCTCGGATAAGAGATACTTGACTTAATCACTCGGCGGGCTTACCTTCACCGGCCCCTGGCTGACCTCCTCCCAATTCGTACTCAACGACGTGCCTTGGCTTTCAATGTAACTCTTCATCATAGCGCGCCGGGTATCCGGGTCAGCATTGGCGTACAGTTTCTTGAAGAACGAATCGACCGCGTCGCCGCCATCAGAGTCATTCCCTTCATCGTCATCGTCACCCGCAGGCTTGTCGTCGTCGTGTTTGGAACCTTTACGGGCCTTGGCGGTGAGGGTGGAGGCGAGCTTGTCCCAGTCTTTGGCGCCATGGCGGGAGGAAGTCGGATATGCTGGGCCAGATGCTGTGCGGGGGTTGCCGGCGGTCGTTGAGGAGGCGGTGGCAGCAGCTGTCGCAGCCTGGCGATCCGCGAGCTTAATCGTCGACGAGGTGGATTCGAGGGCACTCCATTTCTGGCCGGGGGTCTGTTTGTGGAGGACGAGTTCGATTTTGGTGGACATGACAGTCGCCTTGGAGGTGGAGGGATCGATCGGAGCGAAGAGAGGGTCGAGGGTGAAATCGTACTGAGCACCGGAGGAGAGGGGAAACTGCAAAGAGGCCTGTTCGTGGGGGGATTAGGAGAGACGATCAACGTCATTACCCACAACTTATGCCAAAAATGCACATACCGAGTCACTCTTGAGATCCACGTCCAATTGATCCTTGGGAACACCCTTGATATAGAGCGTCACGACCACCTGGTCTTGCGATTGGTACCACTCATGGCGGACCTTCTCCGCAGCAGTGGCCGCCGCCGCAGGAGCAGGCGCAGGCGCAGGCGCAGGCGTCTTCGCAGCAGCAGTAGCGCCAGCACTCTCCTTCCCACCAGCAACAATACCATCCTGGCTTCCCACAACTTTTCCACCTTTCAAGCTCTCCAATTGCGCTCTCAACTCCCCTTCAGTAGGCACCTGCACCCCCTCCGGCACCTCGCCAACCGCCACGCCCACAACCTTCTCATCCACACAGCCCTCCTTAGCCAACTTCCCCAAGCGTCCCTTAACCTTGAGCAACCAGATCGGCAATTCCTGCTCGAACCCGTTCTTCGAGCCCGCGGGCTTGTTCGCCGCCGTCATCGCACTCATGAGCTTGTCTTCGACCCCCGCGCCCGCGTCCGCAGCTTTCGCCTTGTCGGCAGTCCCGTTCACCTTCGCGTCAACCAGTCCGAACACGAGCCCCGCATCCCCGAACCGGCCCAGCTGGAACAGCGCCACCCCGCGCCGCATTTGCGCCGCGAGGATCAGCTCCCGCTTGCCGCGTTCCCGGGCCAAGAGCACCGCGACCTCGGCATCCCGTAGCGCCGCGAGCGAGTCGGCAGGTTTCAGCCGCGAGAAGGCGGTCGAGCGTTTGATGTAGTAGGCCGGGGAGCGGGGGAAGGCGAGAAGGGCGGTGGTGTAGTGAAGGAGGGCGCGGGGGTAATCGGATTCGGTGCAGGCGGCGTCGCCTTGGGATGCTGCGTCCATTTTGTGTGTGTGTGTGTGTGTGTGTGTGTGTGTGTCTTGCTTATCGTCTTTAATTCCTTCCGAAGCGGAAAATAGAGTTCGGGGGAATCCGTGAAATGACGAGGTTGGGTTAGGACTTCGTGTCTGAATCGTTGGTGGGGCAGTCGGTTGAGCTCTGGGATTGTGTTAGTGCTAGCAAAGGCAGAACCACTGAAAGTACAAACACTGGAGAGTTTCGATACGCATCTATTGTAAGAGGCAGCGAGCGCAAACAAGGGCGAGGAGTATGAAACCAAGAGAAGTGAAGCGGGGGACAGCACGGCAAAGGGAAGGAAGTAGAAAGTTGGACAAATCGACTTGCGGGGAAAGAATCAAAACACAGCCACGTGATCCATACTTGGATGATCCGTACAAAGTAAGCTACCCTGGTACCAGTAGTTGAATCCAGTTAATCCAGCATTTGAACGCTACGACTGATTATTTTGATTACATAGTATGAGGCAGATCTTGAATGTACTATACAGATAGATATAGATAGATGATCACAGCCGACCTATCTCTATCTCACAACAAGGAATCATTGCCGAATTTCCTTGCATACAGTCCCAAAGCCCGGATCGGCCAGTAGAGCTTGTAGTTCGGATAGGAGATCATACTGATCCGTTCAGATTAGTAGGCAACCAATAGATTTCCGGGAGGGAACACCTTACCAAGATTGATTGAAAACTCCTTCGATAGACTCCTGCAGCCACTCGCCGTTGGCTTGCTGTCGTGCCATCAGCAGCTTCATCGCCCGCTCCAATGGTTCCTTGTGAGGATAGCCCGCCTCCATCAGGGCCAGACAGGCCCATGCCGTCTGTACCACCTGTGACGTCTCATGTTGCACATACACGTGTTTTTCACTGCTGAGATACGACTCACCCCAGCCACCGTCTTCTTTCTGCTTCGACAGCAGGAACTCGCAGCCGCGGCGGGAATCGGCGCTGGTCTCGTACGTCTCGCCAATGCTCGCCAGACTCTCCAATGCAAACATGGCCGCGTAGGTGAAACAAATCCCCCACGATCCGTACCAACTGCCATCATCCCGCTGCACCCGCTTGATATACTTGACTGCCCGCTCCTTGGCGGCTCGAATCTCATCCGCGCGGTAGTCAGGGAAATATTTGCTGAAGAGCGAGAGTGCAGTCACGGAGGCCGTCGTACACTCCGGGTAGTCGTAGCCTATCATGATGCCACCGAAGACCTCCGCCGCGTTGAGCCACTCCAGCTTGGTTGACCCGCGCGTGGTCTCGTATTCAGTGAATCCTCCGGATGGATTTTGCATAAGCAGCAAACAGTCGACGCTATCTTTTAGTCGTTGCGTCGAGATCAACTTCGGGAAGTCGTGCATCTCTTGTAGCTGGATCGTAGCCCGCAGTCCCTCAGCAGTGCAGTCACTCACCGTGTAACCCTGTGTCTTGGTGCTGAACGGCCACGCACCCTTCCGGTGCTGGCGATAACACTTCTCCTGGTCCGGGACATTCTCGCGCATCTGGTGGTCTTCCACAAATTCCAGCGCCTTGGTCAACATTGGCCGCCACTTCGGGTCCGCCGCAAAACCTGCCACAACAACAGCCTGGATGATGAACGTAGTATCCCAGACCTGCACTCCGTTGGTGCCGTTCATCAACATGCCCTCATCCTTCATCCACATGTAGTCATTCAAGCGCTCACGGTGCCGGCGTACCGAGTAGCTATCGGGGCCGTCATGTTCATAGCATGCAATCATGTTCATAGGATTGCTGACCGGGCCCAAGCCAGCGTAGTCAGTGTTCTCATCTTCCATCCGGATCAGTTCCCAAGTCCACTCTTCCGCGCGGCGGGTCACCGCGGAAGTCCGGAAATAGGGATTCCAGAAATTGACAAGAACCGAGTTCAGCGTGTTCAGGAGCCACGTCTTTGGATAGTAATTGTCCGCTGCGTGGATTGAGTTGCGGTGGCTGGCGAAATCGATCGAATCATAGGGTTGCGTGTACAGTTCTTGTCTAAGCTGCTTGGTGAGAGGGTCCAACGGATGGGCGAACTTCTTGGACCACAGGTAGGACATGGGCAGGAAGACCTGTCGAATGTGGATCCACCACCGCCAAGGGGCAATTGGCACCCAGTCCGGAAGTAGCCTGAAAGTCCAAGTCAACGTCCCTATCTCACACCGATAAACAACAGCAAGCCAACATACCAGATCTCTGGCGGAACAGGATTCACGCAGTCCCACTCCATCACACCCAGCACACTGAGGAAGAACTTCGCCCAGTGAGGTCCATAGAGCGCGCCTCCGAATTTATGGAGCAGTCCGCGAGCCTTGACCATGCGGGAGTCGTCTTCACTGACCCCAACCAACCGCAGCGCGACGTAGTTCATACACGTCCCAAAGACTGAGCTATGAGCTTCGATGTGAAGACCCCAGCCACCGTCCTCCGGATGCTGCCGAGCAAAGAGATATCTCTTGATCTCGGTCGCGTATTCCGGGGGGATGGGAGTGTGCGTGACATAGTAGGTGATAATCAGGCCCGGTAGCAGGAACATAGGCCCGCCGTACTCGCAGGCCCAGTTGCCCGGCTCAAGCTGTAGTTTTGAGAAGAACTCCAGGCCGTTCTCCGCACATTGAAGCGGAGTCTTGGGTGTTGGAAGTTCGGGAAGACCCTAGAGCTCAGCCCGATTAGAGGAAATAACTCAAGTCAACGCAGAGCGCCAGGGAAGATGTACCGTGGGTAAGCCCAGGAAGTATTTATCTGCCACCGTCTGCGGCCACTTCTCACACTCCTCAGCCGATTCGAGATAGTGCCACGTCTGGCGACCGTGATCGTCCCGTAGTCGCCAGCGAGTGTAGTCCGTCTTGGCATCTCCATGACCATCGGACGTCAAATTGCCCTGGGCCGGGGTTCTCCACGGAGCGATATGTGTTCCCGGCATGGCTGCTGCTATGGAAGGGGGCGACCGATACCAAGCGAGACAGGTCAATGGCACAACAAGAATAGTCTATGAGCTAGACACTAGACAAGCGGAGGGACCGTGACCAAAAGCAATTGAAGGTCCCTGCGTCCTACGGGTTCTCGCAGCTTGACCTAATCGCTTCAAGATAAATAAATTAGTAGTAGGTGTAGTAGTAGTTGTAGTTGCGGTAAGTTAAATCAACACACATTCTGGAAACAGCGCGGAGCTACCCGCTTAGTCACCCGTCCATCCATGATCAGGGGGATGGTTGCCTAATCAAGACATAGTTACATATTCGTAACCAAATCTGACATATCACATGTGGACAAGATAACAGAAAGAAAGGACAATCACATAGCTCAGGTCTTATTATGAATCATCCCCAACGTCCCCAACGTCCTTAACATCCCTTGGAAAGAGACATTGAGTACTGATTAAAGATTACTACTGATCTGGAGGACCACATCTCCGATCCAAGGCTTGCAAGCCCAATGGTTCTGAGGTATCAAGTATGCAAAAACAACAACCTTCCACAACAACACCACAAAATCAATTTACCAAGTCCTCCGGGTATCAATCCTGCCCTTGCCTTCCCATAACCAACCATAAAGTTCTCAAACACTTCAACCACATCCGGATGCCGGAAGCCCAGACGTAAGGAAGCCGCACTATCCCATTCATTTGGCCACCCCCACAGCGGACGTCTCTTGAGCCGTCACCGTAGGGTCCGCCTTGACAGCCTCCACTGTCGAAAACTCCTGTCTGGGCGCCTCCGCTGGCACTTCTTCAACCGGGGTTGTAATTTCCTTTGAGCCCTCTGCGTCCGGCTTCGGCTCAGGAGCCGCGGCGGCAACAGGAGCACTCTGTTCCAACTTGACGGTATAGCCACTTTCCTGCAAGGCGGGACCAGTGCCGCCGTAGGAGTGAGGAAACTGATCCTTCAGAGCAGGGAACTCCCGAGCCAGATTGGCGCCGTTGGAAATGGGGTGGAACTTGCGCGTAGTGTTCTTGCTGAGGAAAACCTTCATCGCGGCGAACATCCAGCCCATAATGGCAGGAACGTTGACGAAGAACTTCTCACGCAGCAGTTCGGGGTAGGCGGTGGCGAACACCTCAATAGTCTTCTTGGTGGCTGCGCGGATGTTGGGGTTCAAGCGGAGGAAGCTGACGTTCAAGTAGTCGTGGACCTGAAGCATCTGGTAGGGATCCTCTCCCTCATAGTCAATCACGGTCGTAGCCTCGCCAAGCTTCATATCCCTGACTGCCAGCTCCATGAGCGCCACGCGCCACCGGATAAACCTGAACCCAATATTAGCTTCAAATTGACAGCATTTTCTCCCAGGAAAGTCACCTACTCATCTGAGTCACCAAACGTAGCTTCGACATTCTTGACACTTCCATAAATATTCCACGTAACAATAACCTCCTGGCCGTTCGCCTCGGTGTATTTGGTCACATAGCCGAGACCACTGAACTTCTCAGCATTGTATTGGCCTTCAGTCAGCGCGACAGGGTTCATCTCCTTGCGCCATTGCAGGGCCTTGGTGAGCTGCTCCTCAGCCAGCTTGACATTGCCCTCGTTGGCGCGCAAGAATTTAATGAGTACATTGACCGTGGGGATATCGTTGGAGTCCTTCAAGGTCACTCCCCACATCTCAGCATGGCCGGTCGCAGAGAGAATGGCAGGCAGGCGATCGAAGAACTGGGCCAGAGCGGGGGTTTTGACCAGATATTCCGGTTGGGCAGGCTGCTCCTCCTTGGCCTCCTCCTTAGGTTCCTCCTTGGGTTCCTCCTTGGGTTCCTCCTTGGGTTCCTCCTTGGGTTCCTCCTTGGGTTCCTCCTTGGGTTCCTCCTTGGGTTCTTCCTCTTCGACTCCATCCTTCGAAGGCCCTTCCTTCGCTACTTCCTCCTCATTCTTTCCCTCCAGAGCGGGAGCAGTTTCGGTAACGGGAGCTTCGGTGGCGGCAGGAATAGAAGGAGCAGCAGCGGTAGCAGCGGCGGGTATTTGAGCAGGTTCCGCGGCCGTCTTCTCCTCGGCCGTCATCTCCGGCTGAGGTTCAGCGATAGCGTCAGTGGTGGTAGTGGTAGTAGTAGTAGTTGTTGTAGTTGTAGGAGCAGCAGCGAAAGCAGAGTCAGCAGACGCAGGCTGTGACTCAGGAACGACCGGAGTCGTCGTCTTCTGCTGCTGGTCGGACATGGTGGACAGAGATGATAAGGAGTGGTTCGCTTAGAGATGGGGGATTTCTGTCAGGTCGCAACGTGGTCGAGTGAGTGACCACAGAAATGAACAGGTGATCAATGGAGAAGTCAAGGGATGAAGGAGAAATTCAGAGGAGAGGGAAGCGAGGGAGCGAGAGAACGAGGGAGTGAGAGAAGGACAAGAAGAGCGAAAGCGGAGAGAGAGCGAGAAAGCGAGAGAAAACAGGCTCTAATTACAGGGAGGGACAACAGCAACAACAGCAACAATAACAACAATAACAACGACGGATTCACCACCTAGTCTCGCAGCTAGGCCACACCACACAAACTACGGAGTAAGTTACTACTCACTGGAAACTACTACGAAACATTTGTTCAGACTACTACGTACTCCGAAAGTACCTTCGCATCGAGATTATTCAACCTGAAACTGTCTATTGGGTCCGGGGGTCTAGACTGTGGAGCTGCCATAGCTCCGCCCGCGCTGGACGATTGATAAGTGATAACAGCCTTGGAGACCGACTCACTAGGCCCCAACGGTCGCTGGCTAATTTAATCCTGCTGCAAGGGTGTTTCAGAATGAGCCCCGGTTGAGATGAAGGTAAAAAAGAAGATAGAGAGAAGGGGTGTGGGGGGAGAGGAAAAGCAATAAGAAACAGGCAGGAAGAAAAGAAACAGAAAAAGGCAGAGAAATGACAACTCATTTCACAGCACAGTTATCAGTTCTCCTGCCCCTGACAGAGTGCAGGCAGCCCGGCTTTGGATGGCCTGACCCTCTGATACATCAATCGGTGTTGCTGCTATTCTCGGCTCTGGGCCCGGATGGGATGCCCGATGGCTATTTTTATCCACTTCCTTCGCCTTCTCAGTCAATTACATCCGGGTTCAACGAGGTAAATCACGAGTCCCCTTGCAGGCTTCCTTCCCTGCTTTGACCACGGGAGAGTTTCTCCAGATAGATAGGCAAGAACAAGTTCAATCGGATTCATGCATGCAGTCAGTTAGCTATGTCCATTTCATCTATTAGACTAGCCAGCTCAATCCATCTAAGGAGTAGGAAGTATAAAAGGGGAATGGAAAAAAAAAGAAAAAAAAAAAAGTAGTACAGTGAAGGATTTACAGTTCATAGAACACATATAGGCCCGTCTGGACCAGAAGCCAACGCTTGGGAATATACAGCTAGGATATGAATGCAGCAGGTAATGAAGATGAAATGATTAGCACAGCAGAGAACCCTTTGGTTGCCCGGGCTAATCAGATCTGGTGCCGTTAAGAAACTGCGTTGGGATCTGGGGCATGGGAGGTGGCGCCGCGGCGGCTGTAGATCCCTCCTCCGCTTCGTCCTCGTCCTCATCCATTTCATCCACCTCGGGATGGCTGCAAAAAATCGTCAGTGACTCACCCGATCTGGACGGTGGTGTGTGAAAGGAACCTACGCCAGGAGTTCTTTGATATTGCGCATCTCATAGTGCTTCTTCCGGTGCTGCTCGAACTGACGATGTTTCTCCGCGGCCTCTTGCGACGTGATCAACCCATCGGGCCCGGACTGCGATTCTCCGTTCGCCTCGCCCGCACCCATCACCACATGCTTGTTGCTTCGGTGCGACTCGTTGCTGAGACTCCGCTCGCGCACAATTCGATCATTGGCCCCCACGTGCGCATCTTCAGAAAATGAGTCTTCCGGCTCGCCCAACTCCAGATCAGGGATCTCATCCTCGGCCACTCCTTTGTTGGGTGCTTTCACGGTCTTGTCCAGTTCATCTACCACCACCCCTTGCGCATCGATCAAGGTGTTCTCGGCCTCGAGCTCCTCCTCGTCCTCAGCAGGGTCGTAGTGGGGCGCAAACGGTGTTTTGGGCTCGTCGATCTTCATCTTGGCCGTCTTTTCCTGTTCGGTCAGGTACAAGTTGACCTCATCCCATTTCAGGCGCGGCGAGTTCTCTTCCGGTTGACCGTGGATGTGCGCCAGTGATTGTCGCCGAGACGATGATCCTGGGCGCGTGTTCGAGGTAGAGCGACGGCGACCGGCATTTTGTAGAGTGTTTTGCAGCGTCAGTTCCTTGGTGTCCACCCCGTCGGGGTCGTTCTGCGGAACGGTCAAGGTGTCATGAACTTGTGCGAGCTGCGGAACCGAGCCACTAGAATTCTTGAGAATACCTAATACCCAGGAGATTAGATCGAAACATGACTAGTCATGGGCGACAAACAAGATCACGTACCCTTAGGCCTCTTCTGGGAGTCCTCCATGATGTGGTGCGAAACAGTGGTCATTGTAGTCGGAGAAGGAAAAGTATATTGCTTCGGGAAAGGAAGTACGGAAGGATCTCTGACTGGATTGAGAGATTTGATTGAGGCAGTTGATGAAGAAGTCCCGCTATTTTAAGGACGATTGAGGGAAGGACGAAGATAGACAAAAGGGAGAGAACCAAGATGGGACGATGTATCTTTAAGGTTGAATCTGACAGGGATCAGACGAGTCAGCTGCTATTGAACTGCACAGGCGCAAGGCCAGCAACTGAGGCTGAGCTGACCTAAAAATCTCAGCCTCCGGTCGAGCGGTGACAGCAGTCTCACGCACAACTAAATGTACAGTACGGGCCGTCCTGTACAGAAACTGTTTAGAAGCTGACTCCCAGGCTTCTTTCTTGTCAAAAGGGAACCACGGATGCGATAAGTGGAATTGTCAGAAGGAGGGCTGCGAATTACAGCAAAGCAGATAAGACGGAGGTGGAAGAGGGAATGTGGGAGAGAGATTGGGGGGGAGGAGTGGAAAAAGATGAAAGTGTACGGAGTAAGAGTTGAAGAGAGAGAGAGAGAGAGAAAGAGTGGCACGTGGGGCTGGCGGGTCTTCTTCCGATGACGTCGGAAGCGACACACACAACACTACCTAACAACCACTTTTGCTACCTGAGCACCCAAGGGGCGACTACTTCCAAGTAGTTGACTAGTCACCCTGCCCATCTTTGTCTTTGATGGCTAGTAGCTACTCACTAAGGTAATCCTACTCATTACCAACTTTAGCCAAATTAAGAGCTATCCCTGTCATCTCCGTCAATTCTGGAAAGGGCCCGAGCCTTAAAATCGTCATAGTTATGGCTATACAGGTATTGGTAGGAATGTACGCAGAGAATGAAAGTAGTCATACGTAGATTACTTAGAGGTCTCGTTTTCTGTCATCACCAGACGCTGATGCTGTCACACCTGTTCAACATTGTAACTCTACACTTGGTGCTTGCAAAGCTCATCCCTCCTAGAGCACCTCTAGAAAGAGGGAAAAGAAAAAGAAAAAGAAAAAGAAAAAAGAAAGAAAGAAATAAAGAGATAAAGAAATAAATAAAGAAAGAAAGAAAGAAAGAAGAAGAGAAGAAGAAGGGAAGCCAGAAAGAACTAATAGAAACGAGAGTGTATCAGTAAGCAAATGATTTAAATAGCAAAGAAATAGCAGAGAGCCGCCCTAAAAAAAGCAGTGGGTAAGTGTATAGGGGAATCTCATAACCCTGCCATGCTTCTCAGGAAAGGAGCCACAAAAAAGAAACCGAAACATCACGCGCCACAAGCACCTAGGACCATCCATCCCAGAACAAAGGATATCAAGAAAGCTGCACATCTACATGCACAGGGATCAGTCGCGATACGCTAAGCGAAGTCTCGGTCAAAATCAATAAGTCGTCAATGGTATCAAGTCATAAGATGTGAACGGAAAGTAAAACGAGTCAAAGAGCAAATTCGAAGAAGAAACAGGGCAATCCGAGCCGAGAAGAGGCGATAAGTGGAGAAAGCAGGAGAACCTAAATTTGACTCGAAGCAAAAGCGCAGAAGGGTTGAGAGAATTTGTGAGAAGGACAGAAAGATCTATGCGATGGACTCGAACTCCTCGCGCTCACGGAGTCGATTCCGTGCAAGTTCGTCTCCACCCGTGGCCGACAGCTGCATCCAGTGCAGGGCCAGACACATGCTCTGGGGGTCGGATTTCGAGTCCTTGTCGCGGCGATACATCATCTCCGCCTTGAAGGTGTCTCGGAGCAAAGTGAGCGGGAGTGTCACCCGCGGCAGGAGCTCGGGATGGGTGAGGTAGAGGATCGCCAGCTCCCGCTGGGCAACTGGATTGCCCTCTTTGGCTGTAATGATCCACATGCCAGCAGCATCTTTAATGGCATGTCCAGCTCGGGGATGGGGTTCGTATCCAGCAGGATAGCGCCGACTGAGCTCCTGAGAGACAATATTGTCGGCAATTTCAACCATGCTGTTGCACACTTCATCCTTGAGGCTCAATGCTGCCAGGCCAAATTGCAAGAATGCGGTTCCACAATCGGTTTGGTTCAGCGTCTCGCTCGGAACGAAGGCTGAGATGAACTGGAGATCTCGGAAAAGAGTCTTGGGCTTCAACTCAAGCAGCAAGCTCCGCAGTGCGTCGACTATTTGGTGCTCACTGGGGGCGCTGTAGTCTGAAGGGCGGCAATCAAAGAGGACAGACTCAGCCACGGCGGAAGTAGGCGTATGAAGGGCGGCTTTCTCATGCACACGCTTCGCCTGGGATTCTGAAAAGCTGTGTCGAGCACTTCTCTTTCCCTGTATTCTGGAGCTGCGTCCTCGCTGGCATTTGAGATCTTGGGAGGGAGTAAACGAACCCAGCTCCTCGTTGGTTGTATTGAGGGAAGCAACCACCAATGCTCGTAGATCGCGCAGTGCCTTGAGCTTAACGAAGGGGTTCCCATGTCGAGAAAAGACCTCAATTAGACGATGGAAGATGGCGCTGTACGAAAATTGCTGTGCGTCTTTTCCAAACTCAGTGTTATTCTTGCAGGGAGAATCCGAAGCCGAGGTTTCCGGGTCCCCGAGTAGTGGGCGCTCCGACGATCCAAGGGAATGGCTTCGCGTGCGATTAGATGGTACACGGTGCAACACATCGCGGACAAGCCGGTCATCACATTCGGTGTAGAATCTTTGGATACGAGCGCGCTTCTTCATCTGCACCTGGATGCGTTGCTGGTTCAGTGCATTAGCGAACCAAGCATCAGTTTCACTGCCACAACTCCAAACGGGAGAGCCCAAATCACTGAGAAGCAAGCTCGTGAGAGTCTGTTTGAGATCATCTATGAAAGCTGCTTTGCCATGCGATTTGCGGTCATCTCGGCGTGGGGGTTGTGCACTATTATCACTGAACATCGATGGAGGTCGAGAAAAAATACTAGACGAGCTAGGAGCATACTGCGCTGATTGATGTGGCGTCGACCAGAAGGTGCTGTATGAGTCGCCCGTGGCGGTAGATGCCGCCCTTCCTGGCGAGCCCCCGATGGAGGAGGTATCTGCAAGTGAGGGATCTCGAGGACCTCTCCACTTGTCGGACAGCAGACTCTGATAGGAAGCTTTGTGGTTCAAGGACGACGCATCGGACGAATACCGCGAACTGGAGTCGGCCGGACGGAACTGATTGCCATGTCCCTGCGAAAGGTTTGTGGATTCCTCGTTAGGGACGTTGAACGGGCGGATGGAAGAGAGACCGAGGAAGTTTCGATGGGACGATCCTTCGTACATCGCTCGCTCCTTGTGGTAGAGCTCACTAGCCCACAACACGGGGGTCTCTGCCATGCTCTCTCCAACAAGCCGATTGATACTGGCTTGAACCTCATAACAGAACCTGTGGATACGCTCTTCGCCTTTGCAGAAGTTGTCTATATTGTTATGGGATAGCCATTTGCGGATCAAATCCACCTGCTCATCTGAGAGCTTGTTAGGGCCACCTTGACTGCTCGGCGCTTTCATGATATTCATGACCTGCAGCTCCGGCTTTTGGAGAAACGAGCTGCCAAATGATCTCGCGTTACCACGAGAATGGCCCTCATATGGCGTTTGCTTATCCGGACGAGCGGAATAGATCATCGTCTTCAGAGCCAAAGCAACGTTTTTGGCATCCTCATACCTCATCGAGTTTTTCACATCCGTCATGTACCATATCTTATCGCGAAGCCCAGCCACGGTGGTCATCTTATCTTTAACCAGTTTCTGCAATCGCCGAGTCTGTCTGTGGAGCGCCGCGAACTCGGTCTCACAACGCTCGACCACGGCCCGTGACGTCTGGAGGGAGCGGGCGCAGGAAGTGTGCATTGGCTCAAGGATCCATGTGTCATCTGCAAGTCTGATAGGAGAACTTGCGACGCTGCGAAGAAGCTGACGGCCCGCATTCCACCAGTAATGGGCACCAATAAAGTCGGATTCGTGGTGGCAGTGTTGCATCGCCCTGTCGAAGCGTTGCTTGAGTGATGTACTATCTGCCATGGAAAGACTTTTGAAATGCCGTAAGTCGACATCAACACCGTCGTCGGCAGGACCTTCCTGGATTAACTTCACAATAGCCGTCTGTAGAGCTTCAAGGTTGTCCTCCGACTCTAGGGCGGCGGATTGAGCATCTTCAGCAAAGGTACTGTCCAGGAGTGAAGTCTGACAGTCGTCAGCAAATAGTCCCCATGCCAATTTGCCGTGCTTGGAGATCGAAAAAACAGCCCATTCTTCCGCGGCCGGAGGTTCCAGAACAGCCCGGCCATCGGGCCCACACATTTCAGACAACTCAAACCGAATTCTGTCGGCATTGTGATTAATATTCTCCTCGGCATTTGGGAGAAAGTTGATGGCGGAGGCAAGCAGACTCTGGCCCTGGGTCTCATGTCTGGAAAAGGGTTCGACAGGTTTGAAAAACCCGGGCTCCGCCACAGCAGTCGACGGTCTTTCTGAGAAGATAGAGGCAACACTTGGAGAGACAGAGACCCCGGAAGACGACATTAAAGAACCGCTCATTGAGGTGAATGGCCTAGGGTAAAGCGTATTCAGTAATGTAAGAACATCTGAACCAGAAAGCATTATAGACCCGGTAGGTGATTGCTGCCCACTCGAGTACTTGCGAGTCGACTGTGCTGGGTCGGAGTCCTTGCCCAGAAATTCAGGTTGAAAGCGGCTGAGCATGCTTTCCACCCGACGTCTTACAGTAAGGCGGACCATCGAATAGTGATGCCTGTTGAACAAAGACTGGTTAGATGATCTGATTCTCAAAAGCTTTGAGTTTGACTACCGAAAGGGCTGGATACTGACATGGAGCGTAGGATGGCGTAGACTTGAGAATACGCACGAAGGCCCACCTGTCCGAGAAGTTTCTCGCGGGCATCGTTACGCACATGGAAATCAAGGAGAAGACCATGTGCCTGGACACCAGTCAGCGGGGGAGTTCTGTCTCATGCTTGCTCGGGGTGTCTTCATACCTCTGGGAAAGTGAGTGCGCCGTATAAGAATTTGGCGAAGAACCATTGAACGAACAACAACTCGAGAAACCGGTTACGGTCATCTCGATGTTCTAGTTTCTGTAATATAGCGCAGCTTAGTTGCATCACGGCTTGTGGAAACCCTCCATCTGGGTCATCCAGGAGTTTGAATAACGCATCTATTGTAGAAGCAAAGAACTCCTCGGCCACATCTGTTCGTAAGGGATCAGGCGGTTCCACATCCAGATCCAAGCCTGGCGGGGGTTCTACATGCTCCAGAAGGAATGCGCCGGCTTGTAACATATCCATGAGATAGAGTTCGAACTTCGGTTTCGCCTTCCACTCACTTCCCGTGGCCCAAGCAGTCAAGATATAGGGAATAAGTGCACCATGCCTATTCCCGTCCTGGGTCAGAAGCTTTGCACAGACGGAAGACCAGACATCCAAACGTAATCGTGCTTCCGCGGCATCGGAATCCAGAGGGTTTGCAAAAACATTGAAGAGCAATATTGAAAGGGCATCTTTGCGTTCAAATGCCAGAATACGGTCCTTGTACGGAAGAGAAGCGGCCGAGCTGCGCTTCGTCCCATGGGACCGGGACCGGGATACTGCCGAAGACGATAGATCACTACCAGATTCCCAAGGGGCACCAGTGGACGAGACAAGGGCTGCCCGTTGGGTCAGAGTCAAAGCCCGCAGTTTTTCAAACACAAATTGTGGATCGGTGCGGACCAAATGTAGAATGTTAAGCAAATCAGTCCTGGATTGGGGGCTCAGCTGGAGGAAGAAGTCCGGAGGACGGTCGACAACCGACTCCCGAGTATGCGGCCATCCGTCCAGCGGATCCTGCCGCAGGAAATGTTGCTGGAATGTCGCATCGCACGACTCCTGAAGGTCAACGAGAGTTTGATAAATAGTAACGAAATTTCCCTTGTCATCGTGGCGGAGCCGGTCGACCAGCGCTCTTTGGGCAGCAGCTCCGACACGAATCAAGCGAGCGGAAACGCCCACAGCGATTTTAGTGGCATGTAAGCGGCCTTCTAGTCGCTTTCGACTGGCTTGTTTGTGTTGATTCTGACGATATTGACTGGCCAGGTCCTCAAAGGTAATCTTGGATTGTTCCACGGCTTGGGTAGGGCGCTGGGTGTCCTGAGGTCCATCCAGGGTGCAATCGGCCGAGACAAGGCGTTGCGAGCTTGAGCAGCTCAAATTGCAAGACTCACCTTCGATACAATGCGTCATCGAGTCTGAAGAAGCCCGCAAGGGGGGCGAAGTTGCAGTCACAGCGGGAGTGGAAGATCGAGGCGCAACCTCACATGGTGAGGTTGCTCGAATGGACGATGGAATCAAGCCTGGGGCACGAGCGGCAAGCAAGAGTTGTCAGCCAATGTTCAAAGGCACTGAAAAACTGTCTGATGGTTCCAAAAGAAGATTGGTGCATGAAGCTAGGCGACTCGAGCGACGTGATCAGGCGCAGGGGGATGAATTCGCGCGAAAACAATCACAGAAGGGGCGGAAGAAAAAAAGCAACCTGCAAACTTACAGGTCACATCAGCCAGGGTTGGTGGACGACCATCAACTTGGGCATCGGACATTCTGGTGTTGCCATGGGCAGGTTCCCGGCCAAATAGCCACGAGGAAGACGGTCGAGGTCGCAAGGCGCCTTTGGCGTGGATATCTTCCTTCCTATCGCATGATTTCCCTAGAGTTGTGGTGGATGGTGGACGGTGGTCCTCATGGGTTAAGTGCGGAAGCTGGAGCTGCTGAATAGTGGACACGATGGCGCGCTCCAGATTGAGCTGAAAAGATCGGAAAGGAGAAGGGAAGAAGATGGAAGGAGAGTGATGGAGGAGGGATGTGGAGAGGTCGTTGGTTCTGGGTAGCAATATAACGTAGGTATGGGATCTCAATCCAATATAAGAACCAGTGAATGTGTAATAGGCAGAAGGGTAGGTCAATAGTTATAGCCGGAAGATAGTAAGGTGAAGATGGTCGTGCTCGTTCAGTCAGTCAGTAATCAATTGACTGAGTTTAGTTAATTAGTGTATCGAATACTAATTAACCAAAGGGTAAGGTAGAGGAGTATACTCCGTTAATGACGGAGGATTCCTGTATATCGGATCCACAAATCTTCGAGGAATGCGAAAGCGGCGTCCAGGTAACAGAAGTGTAGATATATCTATCGAATGGCGCAGTGTGAGAGGCTGATCTTAGTATTGACTGAAAGGGTGAAATGGCGATGGGCAGGATAATAAACTCCGACTTGGTCCGGACGATAAACGAAAGGAGCGGGGGAGAGGTACAACTGGCCGACCGGGCTGTGGGCGGGAGAATGAGATATGACTTGCAGCGAAGGCCAGCCGTAATCAGAAGAGGAGAGGAGGGGGGGGGGAAAGGAAGAAGAGGGAAAGAAGGCAGAGAAAGGAAAAGCAAAAGAAGTGGAATAAGTGGAAGCAGAGACAACAACGACAACAACAATAACAGCGACGGCGGCGGCAGCAGTAGAACAGCAGCAGCACAGTTTAGTGGGTTTAGTGGATGCCAGCAAATCAAGCAAACCCGGATTAGTTTAGACTACTACTAGGTCCGGTAGAAGAATAATAAGTCACACAGTAGCAGATGATGAGGATGAAAGATGAGGAAGAAGAGAATAACAACTAACTCATAATTCATCATGTGTGGGGGGATATTCCCAACCATAGAGGGGGGACTAACTAACGTTACTACGGAGTACGTCAAGCTAAAACTTCTGGCAGACTAGCAAATCATAACTACAGTAAATTCTGTCTTCCTTCCCCCTTCTCTTTCTTTCTTCTCCGTCGTTTTTGTCCCTTCCAGGTACGGACAGTACTATACATCAAACGGAGAAATAGCCCAAGACTGCGGTGGTGACTCGAATCGGACACATGCAGCAGCAACCCAAAGGAGGAGGGAGGGGGCAGGAAAATAGAGAATAACTAATCATGAGCCCTCCAGCTAACTTACTTGCTAATGATGATGCAGACACAATAAAAAGTGCAAAAACAATGAATTTTTTAAATAAAAAAAAAAAAAAACTCCCCCCCAAGGCCCGGTGGGAGTCCAGACACGGTACCTTGCCGGGGGTCCAGGCGGGCAAGCGGTACCTCCCGGGTACCTGTCCCAGACTATTCTACTCAGTAAGTTATACTCTACTCCGCGTTACTCTACTTCCTTCGCAGCAGTCTTATCAGCCACTCCGTAGAACAACAACTACCGACTCAAAATTTAGTTATTTTACCCACACATACTCATATATCAGCGTCATCTCACCCTCCCTCAGTGACGGGTTGGATGTGGTCTTGCAGGTAGTTGTCCGTCTGATCCATAAATCCATACCCCCTCGCTAATCCGCTAGTCCTCCAGGGAGAAGGAGGGGGGGGGGGTTGGTTGATACAGGTTTGATACAACAATTATTAACCAGAAACAATTCATTCCAGCCTGCTGCTCTCTTCTGCGCCCTCAAAACCAAGATATCTCCGTGTACTCCCCTCACTGAAACCAAGTCCCGAGCGAACGAGCTCACGAGAAGTGAAGGATCCAAGCATGAACAGCATATCTAAGGCTAGATAGGTGGGGGGAATGATGAGGGGGGCAAAAGAGAGAGATCCATTTCTTGATGTGTTGGCAACGCATGCATGCATGCATACATGCATGGAGGGGGTAAAACCCGCCAAAAACCTCCCCGCCCCTCCTCTCGCTCTTCTTCGCTAGTGTGATTTGTTGGTCAACTTCCTCTCCCCTCCCCCTTACTGCGTTGGCAAGTATTGCGGATTTTGGGGGAGCGAGGGGGGGATTGGAGCTGGAAACGATCAGCTTAGTTATTTTGATAGGTGGTTGATTGGTGTGTGCGCGTATTGTAACTTGCCAGTCAGACAGAGAGAAACCAGACAAGACAGGAAGACAGTCGAAAAGGCAAGAGAAGAGAGACGGAAAATTGACCAAGACGAACTGTTCAGCTGGCATGGTGACTGCGCTTGGCCGGATCCCGTTTAGTGCTACAGTAGTACAAGAGCAATGATCCCCACTCTTTGCACGTGTTCAACCACCACTGCTCGGGTTAGTCAGACGTAGTGGGTTCAATGAGTGATGTGTTGTCATTGACCTGGTACGTGCGATGGTACCACTACCTTACTTAGCTATAATCTACTACTCGTACTACTAAGCAGGTGCAGGTACTGTACATACAAAATTGTCCTCAGGCTGTCCCGGCGCTTACCACTCCATCTCATTTGACATCCAGCAGATCTTTACGTTGGATGTTTCAAGCCTCAATGGACAATTCATCGATTGATCACTTTGGTGTATCTGTATGTCCTGCTCCGCCGGCTGTCAAAAACAGATTAAGATTATGCCACTAGCCTCGCTGCCAGACCACTACAACAATTGGAGCTAGGAGTGGAGTGGATATCCCCTTCTTCCCCCCACCAGTTTTCCATCTTCTTGGATACTGTACATACCTGCTGTACGGATTGCACCACATACATCCAGTACATGTACTTTTTCCGGCGTACAGGATACCAAACGACAAGCAATTTCGTCCACAACTAGAGTCGCTCCCTTCTCTATAAATATTGGACTGATTATATTGGAGGGCAGAAAATATGGCTGAAAAATAAAAAGCCAGACCAAAAAGAGCACAGATTACCTTAAGAAACCTTGTACGTCAACTCAGGTATCGTTTGGAAACTCCATCATCCGCTTCTCTCTTCACCACGGCAGCCTCGGACTAACACAGTCATGTTTAGGACATGAGACACAATAGCAGGGGTGAGCATGATAAGAATGACACGACAAGAGGAAAAATAGAAAGAATGATGAATATAAGTATGAATATTGATATGTAGAAAGAAGAGGGGCGCAGATTCTTGCCGATGGCCAATGGATTAGCTCAATTGGTCGGACCCAGTCCCTGGGGTAAGGGGATTGAAGATGTCGCCCATGTGTGCGTTGTCTCCCCCCCATCTCGCTGCTTTGCCTCGTCTGTCTCTATTTACAGACCCATTTCTTGTCAGCCTCCTTCTGTCCTACTCGCGTGGCCACGCTGTTCAGCGTGTCTTTCAGGACGTCCTTCGAGACCTTCGGGAACCTATCGCAAGACAACCCTAGAGATCAGCCTTCCGTTTTCTTTCGAGACAAGTCAACATGTGGGCCCACGTCTTACCGTTTCTTCAAGATTTCAAGCAATCCCAGTTTGGTCAGATCACTGCCATCCACCACTTGCTTGAACTCACCCAGCTGCTCGGCCGGAAACGTCCGCTGTTTTGTTCGTCCCGCTGTCACCACCGCTAGAGCGCCCCCGTCCGCCGTTGATCCTCCTCCAGGGGAGCCCTTGTGGGAGCCGGAGACCGCCTGGCCCATGAAGGTATGCAGCGTCGACCGCCCCAGACCCGCAGCGCCTGGCACGGAATCTGCAGGCTTGGGTTTTTGCCAGTACACGGTGGAGAACGGATCGATGGGGAAAGGCACCGAGTCGGAAATCGTTTCCAATTTGTACATCTGCAGCTCGGAGTCCGCGCCTTGTTCCTGCCATTGAATGCCGGTGCTGACAGGTTCTAGATCGCCCACGATGAGGCGTCGTTTGCCGTCAACCAGGAGGTCATCCTCGTCATCCAGGAACCCATCCATGTCGTCCTCGCCATCTTCGCTCATCTCGTCCTCTTCCTCCGAGTCGAGCTCCTCGCCTTCTTCGGGCTCCTCCCATTCGGCCTCTGAATCATAGTCGTAATTGATCTCTGGTAATCCTCGGCGGAAAGGGTTGCGCATCAGCCGATGGGCAGCTGCCTCGGGTAGACGCTTGGTAAATGTACCCTGATAGGGTGGACGCACATCTTCCCCAAACCTGAAAGATTTCATTGTTACTTGCCGCAGCAGCTCCCGCGACTTTCTCTGAGCATCCTCGGAAGGTCCGGCCTGGTCGGCCAGATTCTGCATCTGAAGTAGGATTTCCTTTACGGAGGCAGGCAACCTCCCACACCGGCGTCTGTACGGGATGAGGTTGAATATCTCGGAGGGACGAAATGCGGAAGGCGGGTCGGTGGCGTTTGATTTCAGGTAGGCATCTACCTTTTCTTGGGTATGATGAAGAGCTTTGGCATCACGCTGGAACTGATGGGGCGGCGCAACTTTGGTGTGCGACTGCAAGAAGAAATCAGGGAAATCGCGCTGGTAGTCGGATACAGCGGAGGGAGCCTGGTCATGGAAGGATTCGGGTGCAGCGCCAGCGCCGGTTGTTCTCTGGGGTGAGGGTGAGATGGTTTTGTTGATGGTCGAATTGGGAGTCGAGGAGGCAATAACGGGTTTGGGTTTGGCGAAGAAAGAATTCAGCTTCGTTTGTGACTGTCAATGCGGTTAGAAGTGAGATTTCCACGTAGGAACCTTGCCCGGAAAGGGCGGCGTAGCGATTTACTCACTCTCTCCTTCTTAGACTTCTCCTCCTCTTTCTTCCTCTTCTCTTCCTCCTTTGCGGCCTTCTCCTCCTCCTTCACCTTTCGCTTTTCCTCCTTCCGCTTCCGCTCCTCCTCCTTCTCGGCGTCTCGCTTCTTCCGTTCTTCGTCTTTGGCCCGCTTCTCTTCTTCCCGTTCGGCCTCGCGTTTGCGCTTTTCCTCGTCCTTCCTCGCCTTTTCTTCTATTCTCTGCCGCTCCTTGACTTCCTTCTCCTCCACCTTCCGCGCCTTCTCTTGCTGCTTCTGCCGCTCCTTGGCCTCCTTCTCCTGTTGCTTGGTGTCCTTGCTGGTGGGCGAAAGCTTCCTCTTCTTGGCCGCTGGCACTGTAAACGGCCCAGCCCCGTCGCTTGCAGCAGACAAGCCAGCGTGCGCAATATCCGACGGCGGAGCGGGGGAGACAGCAGCAGTCCGTGCAAACCGGGCACTCGAGTTGTCATCGCCGTCGGGGGAAGGCAGGGCAGCACCGATCTCGCCGTCCGAGCCAGCCACCTTCTGAAGATGATGAGCCCGCAGGGCATCCTGATTCTCTTTATCATCGTCAGGCGTAGATGTAGTTGAATTCCCTATCATCGTAGGCTGTTGCATGGAGACGCCGGTACGATCTCCGGCGCCAGCACCTGCGCTCTCTTCGGTCGTCTCGGTATCGATGTCCATGCTCAATTCATTGACGACCATCCCGCCATTTTCTGTGTCCATCCCGCCCATCTCATCATCTTGTATTGAACGCTTGCGCGTGCTGTTGGGAGATGTAGACCTGACCGAAGGGTGTGTGTTCGGAGGTAACGGGGAGCGGTGACCGTGGTTATTTATAGCAGCGGTATTGCTGGTGGCAGGAGTCGAGGCGAGCGCAGAAGGCTGAGGGGGAGTCGGCTTCAGGCTCGGGGGCACCGGACTGGGGGCATCCATTGTGGTGGTCGACATCGCTTCTTGCGAGACCCTTATAGTAATAATGTGTGAATCTTGGCTAAGATTATGCGGAGGTCAATGTGAGTTGTGGTTTAATTATATTACCGGGCAGGTGCGAATGTGTGGACGGGGTATGAGAAATTGGGTCGTCCAGTTGGGGTGCAACAATCAGTTAATATGGAAAGAACGTGAACATCACTAGGCGACGCGACCAAAGGACATATCCCCAGGTATTGTTAGTTGATATCCTTCCTTACTCTCATAAGTCCTTTGCAACTGAGTTGATGGCCCGACTCACCGATTTCAAAGGTGGGGATTACAGCTGCAATATGCCAGCAGAGCCAGGGCCAGGGCTCATGGGGTCGCAGTCGGTGTGAGGTTGGTATAAGGTGGGGGTGAAAGTGATGGGAGTTTAACGCGCGCACACGGGAAATCTTGCCTCGGATCAAACGAGGCAAGCTGAACCTCTCTCTCTCTCTCTTACACTTACAGACTGTCTCTGTCCTGTGCGAGAATTGAGCCGGAGGAGTGGGAAGCTTGGCGAGTGTCCCGTCCTGACCAGATTGCCTGAAACGCGTTAATTGATGTTGCGCGACGGAAATTCGCGTTCGGCACGTGGAGCGCTTAGTAAGCTCCAATCATCAACATCATCAGCCGTCATCTAGGCCTCACTTTCATCACCTTGATGCCATCCATGATATTTGGCTCAACTCAGTCTGAGGATTGTGATTTTACACTACTTTACTAGAAAAACGTCACTGCGGTGTCTCAATAGTAGGGTAGCAGGAAGACCCGTTCCAAGTATATACCACTCTAACTACAAACAACGGTTGCCATATGTACATGAGTATTATTATTACTATGATTACTCATAAATCCATGAGGCACATGGGTGCGGAACAATCGCACCCATCGGCCGTACGCAATCCGTACGACACAGAAAAGGAGAGAGAAAAGCGCCAATAACATGCTGTCAGGGGAATAGAACAAGTGTGCAATGCAAAAGTGAAGTTGGAACAAAACAATCAGAATTGTGACCCAGCCATTAGATCATCCGGGCCCGAGACTCTGGCACAAAGCTAGATACCCGACCATCAAATGCAAGGCAGGACTGCAGGAGGAAAGAGGTTCAACAGAGATCGAAAATGAAAACATTGGGGTTGGAAGGTAGGTAAAGACGTGGCATGGTAGATTCAAGAATATGCCAAGCGCGCAGCTGGAATGCATCCTAATCACTCAGATCCGGGTTCGCAACAAAGAGTCGGACATTGGTCATTGATGTGGTCCTGTCGTCCACACTGCCCCGGCGCCTCAGCTCATCCGCCTTCTTGGCCTTCTCGATGGCGGCTTGTGCGGCGCTGGGGGCAGCCATGTCTGCCAGGGTGCCGAATTTGTCTTCTGGTTCACTGCCTAAGCTATTCAGAGAGGCGTTATCCTTGATGGAAGCATGTTCTGGCTCGGCTTCGGCAGTTTCTGCTCGTGGGTGCTCGGAAACGTCGGGCAAGTCGCTCATCTCGTTCGATGGAGAGCCACTGCTACCCACAGTGCTTCGCTGGTATCCACTTGGATAGCGCGAGTTGCTTCCGAGAGAACTGCGGCCACTGCCGGTGCGGCGATACGGGAATCCACGATCACTGTGGGCATCCTCGTCGGCATCGCCCACTTCGTTGGCACTCAGGCGAACTGGAACCGTTGCACCGACAAGCGCCGAGGGTGAAAAGTCAGTGCCCCCTTTAGCGCCGTGCTTGTTCTTGCCGCTTCCCAGGGTACCCGTACGCCCGGCGCCTGCGCCATGGACTTCCAGGTATGCCCGCTTTTTATCCACCAATTTCTGAGCCCGCAGTCGCGGGTCTTCTGGCTGGGCCCGGTCACACCAAACAGTCGCCTTCTGCCTCCGCATCAAAGCGACGTATCCCAGCTGGGCGTTGGCCGAGCGCGATGATGTGCTTCGACGAATATCCGACACATTACCACTATAGTACATATTCGGATTATTGCCGGTGGAGCTAGTGGAGGTGGTTGCACTGGATAGGCGTCGCGAAGGTGGATAGGGGGCCGCGGCCGTCATGGAATGGTGTGGGGAGGGACCAGTAGAGTGCTGCTGTTGCTGGCCCATGTAGGGTATAACGTGGGAGGAGGATGTTCGTCGACGGTTGTGCGCGATGGCGGCAGTAGACGGGTGAGGGGCAAGCTGGTGGTGGTGGGCCCCTTCGTAGGACTGGTAGGGAAATCCAGATTGCATCCCCGCGACCGGCTTTCGAGCCGGCGGCGGTTGATGGATCGGCAGACGGTAATCAGTCATGCTGGGTTGTTGAAGCTGCACACCGGCCATCTGGCGACTCCTATCGGACGGTACCCGCAAGATCGGAGCGAATGGTTGGTGTTGTTGCCCAGGACAAAAGCTAGGCGGGTGATGGGGAAGAAACGATTCACCACACCGATAAACGAGGCAGAGTCGGAGTGAAAAACAGTCTCGTGAGGACGAGAAGTCAGACAGCCGACAAGTTCAATCTGCCGGTGAGGATGCGAAGTGCGGCGACCGGCGGCTCCGTCGTTGTACCGGACAGGCAACGGATTCCGGGAGGGGACGCGAAAGAGGGAGACAGAGCGGCTGACCCGATACAGTAGAATGCGGTATCGGTGATAGGCCTTAAGAGAGGATCTACCAAGACTCGAGAGGCGCTTAGGATGGAGAAGTGGTGAGAGTGTGCGTGCGAAGGATGTATGAAGAAAATGAGTTTGGCAAAAAGAGCGGTGCTTAAGCAACCAGATAGACAAGCCAGACAGACAAGCCAGACAGACAAGCTGGCTTTCCTTCCGCCACTTCGTGCACACGAGACCTGGCGGGTACCCAATTTCACCAAGTCACACCTGCAGGGGACATCGATTGAACGGTCGACGGCACTAGTTGATGTTTTATGATAGTGAGAGCAAAGAAAGCAATCTTTACAACCGCCAACAATTGCAACACACACGAAAGGACGAGGGGGGTTTCAATGGATTCGAAGTAGGGCGAGGATCAGCCAGGGGCAGCACGGGAGGGGGGGAGATTGAAGTCGAGACGAGATATATAGACCGGGAAGGGAGAGGGAGAGTCGAGAAGTGAAAGGCTAGAGGAAAAAGAAAGACTCCGAAAGACTGGATGGGAAATGAGGAGAGTAAAAGAGAGTGAATAATAACAGGACGATGGTGAGAGAGGGGGGGGGAAGAGGCGATGATCGATCGGGGAAGATGAGAGAAACAGAGGAAAAGAGAGAAAAGCCCCAGTGGACGGTGGTACCGAATACGATTCGATACCTGAGCCTCCTCGTACCTCGTAATTTCCTAGTCTCTGCTGATAAGTACCGACGAAAGTCAGCCAGCGTTGGACACACAGCCACAGATCAACCCACGGCTGTCTTGGGCAGTTGCTCTTTCTTTCATTCTTTGCAGAGATGGGGCCTTGGATGAATCCCTTTCATTCGTCTTGTAAGAGTTATAGATCCTCTTTCTTTCTGTCTCCATTCTATTGTTTCAGATGACGACAAACGAGATTGCAGAGTTCTAAGAGGAGTGTAAAGAAAATTTGACTGCGCCACAACCCGCACGTGGGAACGCAAGCGGGATTCTATCTTGACTTTTGTGTACTTCGTAGTCCATACCTCTTTAGTACAGTACACCCGCAATACCAGACATACCGGGCAGGATACCTGACCTGGCAATCTACGGAAGATACCGTCGCTTTTGCCCGTAAAGTACATGTACGGTAGTAGTCGATGCTAGGAACCGGATGGTCGACCCAAGCTTCAGATGCACAACTACCCAGATTCGGGGCAAATGAATGACGTGCCTGACTCCACTACTGAAACACTCGGAAGGCCGGGAATGAAGATTTCTTCCCCATGGTTGACTGGATATGGAGAGGGGTTTCACGGAGAGAGTCAGTCCTACTCAGACTTTCATCTCAGTATCTCAGTCCGTCATGGATCAATGCTGCACTATTCTGTTGGTATGGTTACATCCATGGAGGCGCTCTCGCATGGACATCCAAATGTCGGCTGGGAGCACTTACTGACTTGCTTACTGTAATTAGAGCAGTAGACTAGAGTCCATAATCAATTGAATAATAATAATAAATGGTCCCATGTTTGTTCTCTTCTCTCCAGTTTTTCAGGTGCCCACTTCTCCCATTGATTGATTGATTCATTCATTCATTCATCCATTCTCATTCCCACTCACCGTTGTGACCCTAACTCTCCGGTAAAGAAAGGTACCGTACACAAGGCTGCTGGGATTTGAGTCGGAGACGAGTTCCGCAGTGTAATTGTGTATTGAATGGTGACGTGACTATGACCATGATCAGTTACTAATGTACATCCAGTAACACATCTTGGGTACTGCGAGTAAGGTTGCACAGGCGGAGAAATCTTCGATAGGCATTTTCGGATCGCCCTGATCAACACTTGTCAACCATGTTTATCTGATGGATTTGTGTAGCCTCATTCATGACTACCTTAGGTACATAGTACATTCCTACCACCTCTCTTGACTACTGAAAGACCATGAGAAGTAAAGTCGTGATATGCCGTCATTCTTTGGCAACTCGAACAATCATTTCAGACGGCCTCCATTTATTGGATCATTCTTGACATCTGGTGGAATCCTAGATTGTCTAATTGTTTGTCAACAGAAGAAGCCGAAAGAACCCTGGAACAATGAGCACTAGATACTGTCTCCAAAGAAAAGCCGATGAAAACGGAAAGTGTCTTTCTTCGTTGACCCCACCGGCGTTACATTCCAGTAAGTTACTAAGTTAAGTTAACTAGCCTAAATTAGTTACAGAAGTCAGTCTCCAAGCTAACTACTCCGGACTGAGGGTCACATTCAGCTGGCCACCGAACCGTATCTTTGCTGCATTGCTCCCAATCGCATCCGGCAATGGAGCCACGCGACAACGGTTCTGCAGCAGTCATAGATTTGTTGATGTACATGAGTACGACGAAAGTAGACATTCATAACCACGGATTCTACTATGTATGATGCGGCCTCGATCGGAGATACCCGCTACGGGAATTGATAAATTGACTGACTCAAATCGCGCATCGAACGAGGGAGACTGTTCCCACGCCCCATGGTTACCGTACTACTGAGTACAACGGAACGAAGCTTGCTGCAACAGCCAACAATGCGATTATCGCCGGGGAAGCCGACGGTCAGCCCTACGCTCACTCAATTGATCTGGCGTACAACCCCACCCTCAAGAAAAACAAAAACAAAACACAATCTGATCCTTACAACAGATCAACGCATCATTGATTATCAATACCACATCCCAAGTGAGTAACAATTGATAAGACATCTTAAAATACCTCATTCCACACTCACAGCTTCGATTCTCCATCTTCAAGCCGCACAAAAGCCCCGTCGGGCCTGACATCATAATCCCGGCCTTGTTCCCAACCCAACCATGTCTTCAGGGTCTCTTGTCCTCCGGTCCCGGGTATCAGACCACCGCCAGTCCACCCTCCATCGTCGGTCGGGATGGGTAGTCCCGGGGTATCGGCGAGATGCACCACAGGGCGTAGCTCGTAGCCACCCGCCTGCAGCTCATCCGGGTCCAACACGGGCGTGGCGCAGGCATCGGTCCCGTCGAATACGGTCTCCCACTCAGCTCGCGTCTTTTCCTGGAAACGCTTGGCGAACGCAGCACGCAGTGCCGGCCAATTGTCCTTATTGTCTCGCGGTGGCAGCTCCTTGGGATCAAACCCGAGCCCTTTCAGGAGCGCCTCGTAGAATTGTGGCTCAAGAGCTCCCACCGCGAAGCACTGGCCCGCGTCCTTGGTTTCGTAGGTGTCGTAGAATGGACTCCCCCCATCCAGTATATTCTGGCCGCGCGGGGCATCCCAGGTGGGCGTCTGGCGGCCCAGTCGAGGGAACGAGGCCAGATACGCGGAGCCATCGACCATGTTAGCCTCGACGATCTGACCGCGGCCGGTCCGCTCCCGCGACAACAGCGCCAGAAGTATACCCTGGAAACAGGTCGCCCCGCCGCCGGCAAAGTCTCCTACAAGGTTACCGGGGGCGTAGGGTCGCTCATTGGACCGGCCAAGCATGGACAACACCCCGGACACGGCAATGTAATTAATGTCATGTCCAGCCATGTCCTTATATTTCCCATCGCGCCGAAACCCCGTCAACCGTGCTACGATCAAACGCGGGTTGTGTTTCAGCAGGACGCCCGAGGGGTCAAGGCCAAGGCGCTCCAAAACTCCCGGGCGGAAGGGGTCGATCAGGACATCGGCCATTGCCAGAATGGAGAGGAGAACTCTATGGGAGGCAGCATCGCGGAGATCTAAAGGGATGGACGTCTTGTGGCGGGTCAATTGATCCGAGCTCGGAGCCTGGGGTCGATCAATCCGTAAAACAGATGCGCCGTAGTCGGCGAGGAGTAGACCGGCGAATGGACCTGATATACGAGGGTCAGTGGGCAGAAGGGAGGGACCGAGATAGAGATATGGTATGGGACGCACCAGGAGCTAGGCCCGCCAGCTCAACCACCCGGATTCCCGTCAGCGGCGTAGATGAGGATGCGGACATGGTAAGACAGCAGCAACTCTTGGGGGTTATCACTCTAGTCGACCGCGTGGGGTTTCGAATTCAAGGAGACTCGGGCAAGATATGCGCCTAGTATTTTCGGGCAGATATGGGATGTAAGATGTGGCGAGCAATCATTAACGGAGAGCCATTGACTACATCTTCTCCGCACGCCGAGGCCGAGGTCCGGAAGGTGGGGAAGAGGAGAGAGCAGAGAAGGGAGTGAAGAGGAGGTGAGTATGTGTAACCTATAGCTGGCTGTTTGTTCTGAATGCTTTATGTTGTGTATTTCAGCTTCTGATGTCATCCACCAAGCATGTTAGCTCAGGGGAAGAGCGCCGGGCTCATAACCCGGAGGACCCTGGATCGAAACCAGGACATGCTAAGTATTTCTTTTTTTGTTTCTTGTTGCCCACCCTCTTTTTACCCCTCAGCTTGTCTGCTCTCAAACTGTTCCTTGTCATCTTCAACACAGACAGGCGTGTTTTTGCTTTTAATATTGTCGCTCTCGCTCCCTTTCATACTGCTATATAACCTATGTTCGCGTTCGGTGGTTGAGCCCTTGCAGTGGACGTGGTCATGGTCAGCCATCTGCTCGCGGCTATATATCCCATAGTACTATCCCACCTCGATCAAACAGCCACACCTCCAGTTAATCCCAACGCCCAAACCAAAAAAACAAACACACACACGTATTAACAATACGCGACACAGCCTGATAATAATTTCCCGTAATACCAGGCAAAATGAACCATCTCCAATAAGCAGCCACGCACTAGCGCGTCGACCGACCCGGGAGCCTTCCGTCGCCTATCATTTGAGCATGCCTCGAGGGGCCAAAAGTACCTCGGCAGCACGCCAACGCAAGTAAGCAGCCCACCAGCACGACCGTGACAGGACCGTGCTGGATGCTTCTTCAAGTTAGGCCGGCGAACTTTTGGAACCAGTTCCGTTC